AATGTTGCACTTTTATCTGCCGAAAACATTATTCCAATTCTAGAAGAACGCGCTAACAACTGGGATGAATTTGTTCGAGTTATGCATGATGCCAATAATCTACTGGAACAAGTTGTCGCCAAGCTTTCACATTTTTTGCCAGGAACTAGGTTAATGTCTACCTTAGAAGGGGAGATTCATCTGCAAAATCTTAAGGCATGTGCTTTGTTTATACTTGAATTTTTCTATTACTCATTTCTTTCTTTTAGCGTCTGTATTGTGATATCGAGAAACTTCGAACCGCAGATGCACGACTGAATGAATTTGTGGTTATTTTACGTCCTCTTCTTCATGTGCCCCAGGAAATTCGTTTCTTTTCCGTTGACCAGGAAACAACTGAGAAGCGTTATGAGGTTCTACTTTTACCGCTTTCTTGGCTGATTGATATTGGTTTTGCCCAATGATTCACGTCTTTTGACTTGTTCTTTGAGAGCATTTTCTATTCCTTGCCGTTCTTATGGGAAATTTTTACAGGAAATCGCTGAGAAATTGGCTGATGAGCTAACTGCTGAGGCACAACTGAAACGGACCTTAGAAATTCTCGCAACAGAACTTAATCAATGTGATGAAGAGCTTAAATCGGACGATGGACAAAAAGATAGATTGGTATGTTCAAAGTGTTCCTTTTGGGTGGATTACTCCTAAAGTAATCTTGATTTGGTGGGAAAATTCATGAAACTGTATTGTCCATATTGATAAGCTGATGAAAATTCCAGAGCCACGAATCGCTTCTCCAAGATATAATTGCACATTTGGAGAACCAGAAAGTGATTGTTGACCGCAGTGCACAAGGTCGTCAGTACATAGAAAGTAGTACTTCTAGAAGTTTGGATCTACTAACGCAGCGTGCGCAAGATCTTCTTGAAGCTTTGCGCAACGCTCCAGAGTCCAGCCATATGGCAGCAGTTCATGGCGAATACGACATTGATGCAGCTGCTGACGTGCTTGTAGCTCTGTATCCAGGTGAACACATACGGAATGTACTTGCGGAACATGGATTTGAAGGCATGGCATCAGATACGGATTCGAAGAGCGATTTCGAATCAATAGATGGCTCGTCGTCTGTTTTGCTATCTCCGGTTCCAGAAACCGTTTCTGGCATACTGACAGCTTCACAATACCGTCGCCAGAGGTCGCGGTGGAAACGGGTTCTACGAACAGCACTTCCTCTTCAGGTGAATATTTTACAAATGTTTTGCGATTCTGGATAAGGTTAGCAAGTTTACTGTTTCGTTCTCCTTTAATTTACTAGACTTGTTTGTAAGATTGATTAAATTTAAATAGAATTAGAAGGAAGCCATTATGGGACCATTGCCGCAGTGTTTGTATGGAGGAACGCTTCCATAATAACAGTAACGAATTGCATTAAATTTCAGGCAATGCTTGTTTTGCTGCTTGGAGCAGCATGTCTTGTCCCACACTGTGACGACGAATATTGTTGCCAGCTATTGAATAATTTCGCAAGAAGCTTCGATCCATCTCTTGAGTTTGTAAACGGGCCTCCGCCATTTTAATGATGGTGTGGAAACTGAACACTGGATGCGCTGTTGTGAAATATCTGTTAAAAAGTTATGCTACCGATGCTGTTGTGTACTGATGGTCGTTGAACAATTTCTCAAAATTTGCATTGTAAGCAGTTTCATTTTACGGTTAAACCCAATCTTCACAATTACAAGAGTAAAACAGAAATCGTATAAGGGGAAACAACATATTTGGATCACATTTCACAGATAATTGTTGGTCAGAGCTGTGAGGATGCGTAGATGGGTAGTTTCTCTGAAGCTCTTCCGTGATGGCACTGGTGCTACTCTTCACCTTCTTCTTGGTCCTCTTTCCTGCCGCTCATCTGGTAGTACATCGAAACGATGCGTTTCCAGTCGATCACCGTCTCGATACTCCAATCAGAACTTGCTCCCAGCTCAGCACCTTCTTCTCGCATATTTGAAATTGCATAGATTTTTTTGTGACATATATGAGGTGTATGGCGTATATGTTAGCGTGTTTGAAATTACTTTATCTGTTGTTTCTAGAAAACTATGCCATTTAAGCAAAGAAACTGTTGCTGGAACAGAATCTTCCCTGACACATGTCGGGACGGATTTCATTGCTGTGATTCCCCCATTATGACCAGTTCTATCGTTTTGTGCGCAGGGAAACAGTATTTCTTTGTCGTCTGGTATCCAAGTTCAATCATGAATTTCATGTTCTACAGTTACAAAGTGCATTGCTACAAATTGATATGCAGACCTGTGCCATCTTCTCTCATCGTTGGACTGGTTCGACCATGGCGGCCTCCACCCATAGAAAATGCGTCGATGTTCTCCTCGAATCGCAGGTCCTGCTGTGCTTTTTGGGTGCACACACGTACTGCAGTTAGTCATTCTTATGTGTAAGGAAACATTTTAACTAAAGAACATGTGGGGACAGACATTGGTACACGGATTTTATTCATACTTGAACACATCGGAGTTTCTTTCAGGTATTTTGTGTAGCACAAATCCAACCGTGGAACCAATCTTTCTCTGTTTTTCGGTAAATCGTTGTAATATATTTGAAAATGTGGCTTTCAAACCGAAAAACAGCAAGTGGATTTGGAAAGGGTGTATTGCGGAGCCTTTGACTATATCTGATTTCACATTTGAGTAGCCGAAAAAGTTCAGTGCTTTCGGTCGAGTGGGATAATTTTCTACGCACAATGAACACTAGCAGCCGCACCATGTGGGATAATGCCTAATATTGAGCCATTATCGAGTTGCCAGTCGAAGGCTTATTTTTCGATAACTAGCGATGAGGGTTTGCAAACACGATAGGATTCAGATAAGAGTTTGCCCCATCGTTCTATGGTTTTGGACGACATGTATGCTACTATTTACAATACTTCTATCGTTCATCAAACAAAACATTACTGTCAGCATTCGGAAGTTCTATGCAGCGTCTGGTGAACCTATTTCTGCACTTTTTATAACTGCCTACTCGAAACGATAACCCTTATTCATTATAGTGATCAGGATTGAAATAATAGTCATTGGTCGTCAAAATACAGCCCAACAAACACGTTTGAGAAATGGTTCTTGTAAAATCTCTAAGTGCAGAATAAAGCTTTTACGACGGATCTCCGCCCTAATATATAATTTGGTTAGGCTATTGATTAAGTGGAAGAGTTATGGAAAAAAACTTTCTATATTCCAAAATAAATCACTAGAAAGAGAATGACCTATATGTAGGTCATATCGACCGCTTAGGAGCCGCGCATGGAACCATACGTCCACAGCGTCCGTTATGTGTTGAGAAAGCCAATGTAGTATCATTCTGTATCCCTTCATTCGTTCTAGTACATTCCGTATATGGAATTTTGGGAAGAACGAAACGTACAGCGGTTCTGGAAGGCTACTTTGAGGACAACAAACAGCTTAGTGACCATATTGATTGGAGAAGGAGTGGCGCTTCGCTTATTCATTTGTCGAATCAGGATCGCACGACCGAATTTCCATTCCTAAAAATCTCTCAGTGAGTTCAAGTCATCACTCATGGGCCTGATTCGCCGACCTTATCAGATTGCGCTTGAATCCTTTGATACGTATCGGACATCATGGCAATTAATAGATTTATGAGCACCTAGAATAAATAGAATTCAATGTATTTCTTCCATCAAGATAAACCTATATCCTACAACATGTGCGTGCAGCGCTCTGGTTAAAGATGTCCTGCAATACATACTGGAGTCCAATTCACAAGGCATGCTAGAGTTTATTCACTCCAAAGTGTCAGTTCTTTATGAATTGTAAGTATTACGCAGTAATAGAAAAAGAAAATATCTGTACCAGTAGAAAGAGAAAAAGTGCTTACGAGTTTTTAAAAACGCCTACACTGGAAATTCATTAGATGATGTCATCGTGGTCTGCTCAACAGAATGTTATTTATACAATTTATACTGGCTTCGCCAAGAATCTTAATCATATGAAGGATTTCGAGCCGGTTGGTCGCGAAGCTATGTGGCGCGTCCCCAGGTGGCACAAAGGAGGTTAATCGCGGACCAAAATCAACCTTTGCTTCCCTGAGACGCAGGTGGACTCCCTGTTTCTGCTGCGCTGATTTGGCACATACTTTCTGTATTTGCTAGGCGTATTCATGTATGCGTGCGTGGGTGCGTCCTCGCTTATGCGGATTGTATTCTACGAGTCAATTCGGCCAAAAGCCTGCAATAAAGTGACAAGGAAGTACATAGGAGACGGAGTCGCCTCCAACAAATAAGCTCCATGTCCACTCTGAGAGAGACTTCCAAACTACCCGTGAGTATACTCAGCCCCACGTTCAGAGCTCACCAAGCTGCACGTGGGTATCAAAAAGTTAAAAAACAGTAAAAGAAACGGGCCTCATTCCACTGATCCAAAAGAGCTCCAATTTTGCAGTATTGGGTATAACGAATACGGAGAGGCTGTTGAAATCCTATGGCCAATCTAGACTCCCTAAATCGCAAAGGACTAAGGTGATGCGATCTCTACCTACGATGCAGGCACACTTGCATCTGAGTCCTCGATAGAAGAATTGATCATGCAAGCAACAACGATAAAGTACGATGTCATCGGACTGGCCGACATGAGACTTCGCCACCCATTCAACCCCGTCCATAACACCGAATAAGAACTATTCCTCGGAACATGAAACAATGAAGGAGTCGACAATATCGGCGTTCTTGTCAAAACGAGTTTGCCCATGAACATTGACTATTCGAACAACTAACAACGAATCGGAAGCCTACAATTGAAGAGATGTGAATCAACACCGGCTTTGACAATCTTCATCATCTACGCACTGACATCAAGCTATGATGAAGACGAAGTCGAAACGTTATAGACGGATTTGGATAAGTTCTACGGAGAAGAGCGTATATTCTTCAAGATCATCATTGGACATCTTAACCCCAAGAATGGATCAAGAAGAACGTCAAATTGGGACCCCATGGATTAGAATGGAACGAACAGGGTGAGCGGCTGTCTGAGTTTATCAAGACGACCAAGACTATCCACGGTAACTTGCAATTCCGGAAGCCCTGACCTCAAAGTTGAACGCAGGAGATTCCCAGTGGACAGTATCATAAAGAAATACACCACACCATAGTAAACCGAAGGTTTTGCCTAACCGATGTCGCTCTTGTCCCAAAATTCTACATGGGATCAGATCACCGCCTCCTTCATGCAAGATTCTATTTTTCTCGGAAAGCAGAAAAAGCCGCTACATTCAAAAAATGAAACCCCAAAACTACTATAAATTGGGACTTATTCGACTCATTAGTCGGCTGTTGGGAAGATGCCGTTGTCGATAACATCGACGAAGAATGCGATCGGCTCATTCAACATCTCCACGTTAGAAAACCGACAGTTCGAAAGTCACCAAGAGACGTCTGTCTCCAGAAACTCTCGAACTGATACGCCAGCGTGGAATCGCACAGCGCAGGAAACCGCGAAGTAACGTCCGAACTTGCAAAACTACGCAAAGAGGCGATAAAAGAAGATCTTAAAAAAAGAAGAGCACCAGTAATGGCCGAAGCTGCAGAGTCCGGGAAAAGCATTCGCAAACACACCGAAGCTTCGCCAATTACAAGACTAAGATGATTGCACTCCGACGCCCAGACGGAACAGTTACAGCGTCCAGAAAGGCAGTGGAGAAAATCATTCACGAATACTACTTAGATATCTTCGATAGCCACGTTCACCTTCCGTGCTCTTCCGAAATCCGACATGCCATTTCGTCAGTGAAAAATCCAACAACACCAGGTCCGGACAGGATAACACCAAAACACCTGAGGAACCTTTCGCCAGTCCCCGTAAACACACTGGCTTGGCTCTTCACACGTTACCTCTCTAAATGTAAGTTCCCTACTCAATAGAAGACCAGCAAGACCGTGCTAATGTTCAAGGAGGGTGATCTCCACGACGTCGGCAACCATCTCCCAATCTGCTTGCTGTCTGTCGTCTACGAGCTTTTCACTCTACTCATCCTAAACAGGATTGACAGAACACTGGACGAAAGAGAGCCATGTGTTCAATCAGGGTTTCGAAAAGGATTTAGTACCATGAACCACATTCACACAATAACAAGACTCACTGAATTATTACGAGAGTACAAAAGACCGCTCTGTCTCACTTTCGATTTAAAGAAGGCCTTTGATTCAATTGGTATAGAAGCAGCCATGGAAGCCCTTAATAGTCAGGGAGTCCCTATTCAGTACATAAAGATTCTTCGTGAGCTGTATAAAAATTTCACAACCAAGATATCACCATTCTACAACGATATTAACATCAACACCAAAGGAGGGGTTAGGCAAGGCAATACCACCTCGCCAAAATTATTTACCACTACGCTCGAGAACGTCATGCGAACATTGGAATGGAACAACATGGGAGTGAAAATCGATGGCCAGCAATTACACCACCTTCGCTTTGCTGATGACATCGTCCTTATAACACCAAGCATTAGCCAAGTGCTTGCCGACTTTAGTAAAGCCTGTAGAAAGATTGTTCCTCGACTAAATCTCACAAAAACGATGTTCATGAAGAACGGATTGGTTTCGCATGCCCCATTCACACTCAACGTAATGAATATCCACGAATGCTCCAGTTATATCTATCTAGGTCGGGAAATCAACATGATGAGCGATTTAGATCCAAAGTTGAGCAGAAGGAAACGAGCAGGTTGGGGAGCTTTCAACATCATCGAGGATGTCGTGAGGAGAACAAAGAACACCCGATTCCGTGCCCACATTTTCGATTCAACGGTACTTTCCGCACTAACGTATACGTCAGAAACCTGCTCGCTGCGTAAGCAGGATGAAAATATCACTCAGCGTTATCGAACAAGCAGTCGAAAGAACAATGCTAGGAGTATCCCGTTCCACACAAGTAAGGAATGAAATCCGAAGCTCCGATCTGCGTCAACGATCAATAATCAAAGATGCCGTTCTGTACGCTAAACAGTCGAAGATAAGGTGGACCGGACACGTAGTGCGTATGAATGACAACCGATGCACAAAAGCCGTTAGTGACTGGATTCCTCGGGATGTCAAACGTACTGCAGGAGGACCACCGACCCGATGGTCAGAGTTCTTCATAAAGGGCCTTGAAGAAAGATATGATGCTCAATGAGTCCCTAGAGCAAGCAAAACCCACTGAGCTCTTCTTGCACGCGACAGGGAAAAATGGATTTACTGGTCATCGCTCGAGTTATTCGACAATCATCGGGATAACAGGTGACAGGTGACAGGTGATATACCAACCTCGACGAGCAAGACGTATTACCGGCTGGAAGAACGAATAGAATCCTCACTGTTGTACATTAGAAAATCACGTATCTTCTTGTAAGAGACCTACAGATTTCAAATGCTTTTATTAGAATTAGTAGAATGAACAAAAGGGTTAGATATATCAGAATATACTTGTTGAAAATTGAACTGAACTATCATCGGAGACGTACGGGTTGGAATGAATGTTCATTGTTGCGGATGGGTTAATGGAAAGTGTCCTCATCCTCGATGAATCCTTTGAAAACTTGATGATTCAATGAAGGTCACCTTGTTGAGCGAGTCAGATAGCACAATGGTAGTGATGTCCCCTCATCACGAGCACGAGATTCCGCTCCGGGCCAACCAAGCCTCTCATTCCCTTCGGTGTCGGCAAATTGGTACTGGACTTCTCCGGGAAAAATCATTCTCTGCAATCCAATTGGGAACGCTGCAGTCCAGACATCTCACTACTCCACGGAGAATTGCCCAACCAATATTCTACGACATTCAAGATGAAACGAAAATCCTCAAGCAAGAACCGAAGCCACACGTAAAAATTTGGGAGATCTTCGTGGATGATAGATGCGAGGAAACGTACTGGATGTGAGAAGTGCTGGGATCCGTATAGTAGACATGACGACGGATCAAATGAAATAAAAAATAGGAATAAAATAACTTCATGTTATCAGGAAAACAATGAAACAACTATTTCCCGAATCTCTCAATAGATATTCGTAATGGTTGGGAGAATGTAAAACTCCTCTGCCATTACAAGTGTACCGCTTCACTACTCTCCCGGTACCATGAAAAATTATGTGAAACAGGCTATGACCAAAATCTACTCTGAGCTACTCGATGTGGATCTAAACTTTTAACATTTCATTTAAAACAGTACGGGAAATTTAAGCTAACGAAAATTCCACTCGACACTGGATGCATTATTTTGTCGGCAAACAAATACAACGTTTAATCCAAACAAGAGAACAGCTAGGAAAGAGCAAGGCACCTAAAGCCAGAATGTGAAAAAGGAATCAGGGAGCATAATGTTTAACCTGTAATTCACTGCCCATCCTTTTTTCATGGCAAAGGCCAGATTCGAACGAACGGTTATTCTCTCCGAAGCTCATGTGTTACCCAATGCACCACTGAGGTTCTTGCTTTGCCTTCCTATCAGCCAGTTTTCTTCCCTCGTGGTGCTATCAGCAATCACCAACTATCAAATAAAGGTGAGACAATGTCATTTCGACTGTATTTTCATATTAACTAGGTTCAATGCCGACTTGTGCTCCCCAGGTCATTCCCACTGATGGGTGATTGCTGATAGCACAGTAGAGCAAAAAACTTACTTAATGCTTGGTACTTGAATGGCCCAGCCTCACTGGTTGTGCGTGCCCCAGCATAATCTCCATTTTTCGGAGATTTGCTGGTTAAGCCATTATGGCCCTCTGGAGTCCCGAAGTCAGCAAGGCCAAAGTCCGTCCCAGGTCTTCACCACCACGGGCATTCGCAGCCTTTGTGGATCAGAGGGAGATTTGCCACCATGCAACTTCGACACCAGGACGGTGGTGGATCCTGGTATTGGTTTACTCTCAGATAGGCTGCCTGATGGAAATGCAGGACTTCTTCTCAGTTTGGGAGACCCTCCCGGGGGGACGAATCCCCCCGCTGTACATTGCAGTCCGACACCCAGGAACACCTCCCAACCACGATGAGGCGGTAAACCGTTGGGAGAGGGCAAAAAACTGGTTGATAGAAAGGCAAAGCAAGGGCCTCGAGGTGCAGTGTGTAACACATAAGCCCCGGAAAGAATAACCGTTCGTTCGAAACTGGCCTTTAACCATTAACTTCTGGAAAAGGTAATCACGATTTTGACTTTGGTTTGAGGTCCATGTTTCGAAACTATCTCAGAATCATTGCTGGTGAAAAATTACAGTTAGAAATTCAACTTAATTTTTACTGGCAATAACAAATAAATTATGGAAGCATAACAAGTACTTGTTAACTGTGATAACCGTATTGAAAGATAAGCGTGCCGGTTTGCAACAACAGCACAAGTGCCAACAACATAAAGGATAGAACCCTTATTCTAAAAGAAAATGTTTGTCTACCAATATGTTTCTATACACATCTATTAACTCTCACACTATCTACCTTTTAAAATATAATTACTTAAGAGAGTACGAAGCCGATCTTCGCAGTTCAAGTCACAGCTGAGATCTTCCTACCCACCTACCGCCGTGAACCCACCAAATCTATACCAAAGACAAAGAAAAGGAGATAAAAGGCTAAACAGTTTATCAAAGACTAAATAAGTTTACATGGAGAAATGAGGCGAAGACAGGTGAAATCGAATTGTTGAGAAGCCATAAGATGATAAGCGTTCTCGAGCAGAACAATCAAGAAAGACAAAAGCTGAGGAAAAGAAGCACATGTGTAAAGCAGTAGTATGGGCAACCGGATAAAATTTGGAACAGAAACGGCATGCAGAAGAAAACCAACTCCACAGAAGGCGATTGCGATGTGGAGAGACGAATAGGGACTGCGCTGACTCACGCACAATTTACAGAGACAGACTATAAAAGCACGTACAGATTTTGACTGTCACATTTAGAGCACAGATTGCTGCACCTTTTCAAATATCTCATTACAAAAAGCAAAAGCAAGAACTGTCGGCTGAATATAGCACCGGAACTTATTCAAAGATCTACAAAATTCGAGAAGTTCCACACAATGATTCCGCCGAGTGGTCCGCCTGTATTGGATATATTTAGTTCGAAGCTGTTTAGTATCGCTTTGGAAACTTCATACGGTGGTTGGAATGAAATAGTCTGACGTGAACGTTAACTGTGTCACCACTAAATGTTCTTCGAACGGAACGAATGATGATAAACTTCTAACGCGAGGCTGAGCTGCACCTAATATGACTGCAGCCGTGCAAAATTATTTTGATTCTAAGCCTTATTTCCGATTAAGGGAAAAACAACACTTTACAATGAACAACTATGAATACTTTCGCCGGGTATCAACACCACAAATAGGTGTGAACAATTTCGTTTTTATTTCTTTTTGGAGAAATGAATACAGCGACTTCAAAGGATGAGTAGAAGAAACGCCAGGGTACAGTGTTTTCAAACTTGAACCTTGCATGGGCGTGAAAATAGATCAACTCCCAAGCCCGACTTTCTGTTAACCTCGGCATTGATTGAATATATCTTTCTACTTCTGTTCAGCAAACACGAGGTGCTATTTTATTTCTTTATTTACGCACAAGCTGACGTTTCGGCGGATTTCGCCTTCCTCAGAGCCTAGAAGGGTCAAGTTGACAGCAATCCACTCGGCCAAACACCTCCATAACCAAACAGAGAAAACGCTAAACCAAGATTTCAATCACATTTAGCATAGCTCTGCACACTCACCGCTTTCTATGAGTCTTCCACTGAGTATGTCGCCTGAAGACCGACCGCACAGAATTCACATGGAAGCGTAATGTGCCCCTTCCATCAGTTTTATATACTGTCCAATATCACGCGTGATATCGAGGCATTCCTCCCTGCGGTTCATTTTCGGATTCTTGGAATTAATCCAGAATGCCTCTAGAGTTTTGCGCGCTTGTGTTCCCGATTCTTGCGCGAGGATCGTAACCCTTAGTTCAAAATCTTCTCCGTTATGTTTTTGCGTGCTATGCGTACCTAGTGGAGTACTTGGCTTACGTTTTCCGACTAGGTGTTCTTTTATACGTACGCAGAGTGGTCTACCCGTTTCGCCAACGTATTCGTCCCCGCACGCTTTACAAGAGATCAGATAGACTGTACTCGAACTTATGCAGTCACCGTCTCTACCATTGGGACAAATTATACAATTTTGCGTTGCACATAGACGGTCATATAGACGGTTACGAACTAGCTGGCGTCTTAGATTACTCGGTGGCATTTCAATTATCGTTACCGAATTCTCCAGACTGGCCCTTCTCAAACAACGTTTTATAGCTGCACTTACTTCATTTGAAATGAAGGGCAGTATAAACGGGACCTTGTTGTCGCTAGCGTTATCGTTGGGGTACCTGTGGTTTCCTCTACACCTATCTCGAGCTACGGTTTCGTAGCCATTAAAAATGGCTATTTGCCGCGCCAAGTTCCGGGACTCCTCTTTCTGTTGTCTTCCTGTGCATACGCTGGTAGCTGTTCGATACGTGTTTCTCACAAGCGCTCTTTTCGTGTGAGAGGGATGAGAGGAGAGGTAATGAACTAGGATGTTTTTACTACTTGGCTTTCGATACCACTTCGTAATGTAGCTGTTTTCTGATAAGCTAATTTGCACGTTCAGAAATGGAAGCCAGTCTTCTCTTGGTTTCTCTCGGGTGAATTTAATATGCTCTGACTGTGTGCTCAACAACTCGAAACATCTGTCGAGTTCTTCTTGCGTTGAACAAATGACCAAGCAGTCATCTATATATCTGCAGTAGAGTAACGGACCGAGGTCGATTACTGGCGATTCCACCTTAGACATGAATGTAATGGCAAGGCTCGGCACCAGTCGTTGTCCCATTGCCAGCCCTCTCATTTGTGTGTAATACCTCCCGGACCATCTGAAGATTGAGCAGTTTAGGCACTCCTTTAAGAGTGTCATCAACTGCTGAATCGAGAAGCCGTACATGTTTATTGCTCCTTCGTGTTGTATAAGGAGCTCGTTTATGGCTTTNTGGCAAGGCTCGGCACCAGTCGTTGTCCCATTGCCAGCCCTCTCATTTGTGTGTAATACCTCCCGGACCATCTGAAGATTGAGCAGTTTAGGCACTCCTTTAAGAGTGTCATCAACTGCTGAATCGAGAAGCCGTACATGTTTATTGCTCCTTCGTGTTGTATAAGGAGCTCGTTTATGGCTTGCATAGCGGAGTCACTCGACACGTTCGTATACAGGGCAGTGACGTCGAAGGACTCCAGCACGTACGCGCTGTTGGGTCGCGCGCTTTACAAGAGATGATGAGACGTGATTGAAATATTGGTTTGGCGTTTTCTCTGTTTGGTTATGAAGGTGTTTGGCCGAGTGGATTGCTGTCAACTTGACCCTTCCAGGCTCTGAGGAAGGCGAAATCCGCCGAAACGTCAGCTCGTGCATAAATAAAGAAATAAAATAGCACCTCGTGTTTGCTGAACAGAAGTAGAAAGATATAGATCAGCCAGTATATAATGCAACACTGAAACGTCGTTACAATTTGTCGCCTAAGAAATCTAAGAAAGAAATTCGGGTGTCCAACTTTCTTCGACAGTTGAAAATAAAGGAATCAGTAAAACAGGACGGAACTAAGACATTAGACGTTCTGGACACGCTGTGCTGCTAGAGGACTATCGTTATAGAGGAATAACGACATCCCTCCATCACCATGGTTGTAAAATCAAGGCGTAAAAAATTTCCTCGATACGGTGACTACACTCTTTTGTGAATATGCTGGCAATGGACTATGTTGCTCTTCGCGTCCATAGTGTAAAGACTAGCGCGCCATAGTTCTATTCGACGTTCAGTGGTGAAGCAGATAACACAGTACAGACATTAAATAGGAGACATTAACAATAGTGTGGTCAAAAAGTGGGAAACATACAGTAGTGTGATGCGGAGAAAACTGTGCGGGCCTTGCTTGAGGTTCTGTGTCTGCCCTGTCTCTTTGACAGTCCTCAATTCCTTCGTAGTGCTTCGAAGATGAAGAGATAAAACATCAACTTTTGATGTGCCGGCTATCTCATTGTATAGGTAGCAACTATGACTTAAACACAAGGAACATCGGTCCACCTCGACATTACTTTCAGCTTTGAAGATCTGACTATTCCTTTCCTTTAAGTACTAAAATCAATGAAGTGTTGTAGATCGCTAAAAGCAACCTATGATATAACTGATTGAGCTGACTTTAGAACAAACAGCAACAGTATTACAGCCAAAATTCCGATACACACAACGAAGTAGATAGAGGATACGTGAAATCATTTTCACAAAAAAACATTAAAGCATTAAGAAACAAACAATTATCTGAAAAACTTACAATGAGTGTGACCATCATGTAGATCCCAAACAACAGCTTAAGGATGATTTTAGCAAAATCAGGCACCAGGTGAAGAGGAGGCATACTATCTGGCTCGACTAGCCTGAAACGCCATTACTTTCGTAGAAAGGTAAAATAAACCAAATAAGCGAAGGAATTGAAATAATTTCTAAGATCTCTTCACTCACGACGCTTAAGATCTACTATCTTTCTGGGTATTCTCTTCTCTCATTCACAAGTATTATATTTCTCGGGAACGATATGTCATATTCTCCAACTTTCGAAGGAAAGTATTCGTCCATTCACGTAAGAAATCCAGGTTAGCTCGTAGGAATTTTTGAAAGTGTCGGATTCTAACAAAATAGTGATTACTGATTGTTGCTTTTACGTATCCTAACGAATCGATTCAACTCCCTGCATTATTTGCAAAGGCATGCACACTATAGTGTCCATACGTGACGATAGGAGTGAAAAATGTAGGCACTATGGTACACTTTTTCAGTTTGGAAGACTTTAAAACTTTACTATCACACTATACATATATATACATACATATATACATATATATACATATATATGCATGCGTATACTTGATGTGTAATTTATTAGATGACCAATTAAAAACAGACCAAAATAGGGGTGGGGGTGTGACCAGAGAAGTCGTTCTCCACACTTGGTGGTTTACAAAAGCGTTTCTTTTTTTCGGAAAAGTTCATTGAACGCTAATTCGACTAACAATTTACTGTTACTGCATTTTAACCGGTATGGTTATTGTATGAAACCTGAAGACATAAAAGTACCGAAATCTACTCAACATTACCAATATTAGCCGTCGTCCCGAGGGTTCGACAAATGACTTGACCGAGCGCCGGCACACCTTCAGTTTCTGTTTATCGCACGAAATAAGCCCTGTGGGTTCTCCTCGCCGTAAGGAGTCGTTGAGGATCATATCTGTATGTCATATGATAGAGACTTCCATGGTTTTCGTGAGAGACGTCTGACAATCGGGTAGGTGATCTTCTTGCAGTAGGTTTGACATCCTAAGGAATCCGGTCACTTACGGCTCTTGTCCGTCGGTTGTCGTTCATATGCATTGCGAGTCCGGCCCACTTCATCTTCGACTGTTTGGCATATAGAACGGTATCTCTAATTTCAGACCATTGACGCAGATCGAAGCTTCGGATCACTTCAACTATTTGTGTGACACGGGATACTCCAAGCATCGTCCTCTCGACTGAGCATTCAATAACGCTGGGTGGTCTTTCATCCTGTTTACGCAGCGACCAGGTCTCTGGCGCATACCTTAAGGCAGAAAGCACTGTTGAGTCGGAAAGGTGGACATGGAGTCGAGTGTTCTTTCTTCTCTTCACTACATTCTATAGCCGCTCATTTCCTTCTTCTCGACTCTGGAGCTAAGTTGTTCATCAAATTGATTTCCCGACCAAGACAAACATAACTCGAGCATTCGGAGATATTCGTTCCATTGAGCGTGAATGGGGCATACGAAACCAATCCGTTCCTCATAAACATCGTTGTTGTGAGATTTAGTCGAAGGCCAATCTTTCCACAGGCTTTATCAAAGTCGCCAAGCATTCGTTAGCATTGATTAATTTTCGGTGTTATAAGTCTGATGACATCAGCAAAGCGAAGATGGTATGATTGTCGACCATTAACTTTCCTTTATTGCCTCATTTCAATGTTCGTATGACGTTCTGGAGGGTGGCGATAAATAATTTTGGCGGCATAGTATCGCCTTGCCCTACCACTCTTTTGACGCCGATGTTAATATCGTTGTACAATCGTGATATTTTGGTTGTTCCACTTTTATATAACTCACGAAGAGTGGAGTGTTTATATACTTAGTAAGGACGCCTTGGCTGTTCAGCGCCTTCGCTAGCACTTCTATTTCAACTAAATCATAATCCTTCTTTAAATCGATGAAAGTGAGACAATGCAGTCTATGCTACTTCAGTGAGTCTTGTTATAGTGTAGATGTGATCCGTTGTAGTGCCAGTTTCTGTCAATCCTGTTCAGGATGAGTCGAGTGGGGAGATTACCGACGATAGACAACAAACAAATTGGGAACACAGTCTTGTTGGTGTTCCATTGAACAGGAACTTTGAAGTCTTACAAGAAGCGTGCTAACAGCCAAGCCATTGTTTGTGAGGACTGTTGTCCAAGTGTTCAGATCTTGCCCTGCACAGATCAGCTGTTGTTCGATTCTTAACCGACGAAACAGCACGCTGGATTTCAAATAAAGATCCGGTGGAACGACATAGACATCCTTTATTTCATATGAAGGCAGGAAGCTTTCAATTACATTTGGCCATTGAAGAGGTCAGAGTTATAACTGTAGATGATTTCCTCCATTGCCTTTCTGGAAACTGTCGCTGCTCCGTCTGCATGCGGCAGTACAGTTGTCTTGAACTGCAATTAGCGAAGTTTCGATGGGTATGGCGAATGATTGATTTTCCCAGTCTGTAGCTTCGACCATAACTGCTGATCTTTTCTGCTCAAGATCTTCTTTTATCGTCTTTCTTCAAAGTTTGCAAGTTCTGATGTGAGTTAACAGTAGCCTACCATGGACTGGGATTTATGCAGAACAGTATTGCGGTATCATATTGGCATACTAGCTCGAGTGTTCCTCAAGCAGACGTCTTTTGGTGACCTTCGAAATCGTGCTTTCATAGCGTTAACGTGAAGCTGTTGAATAAACCAGTCATATTCTTCATCAGTATTGTAGATAACGGTATCTTTTCGAAAGCCGACTACTGATCTGCATAAATCCTAATCTATGGAGGTTTTGAGATTTCAGTCCCTCGAAGTATACAGTTTTCTCTCTTTTCCACAAAAAATGGAGTCTTGAGCAAAGAGTGCAAGGGCCCGATTTCGACGAAGAATGTCAAACTAGTATTGAACCATATCGGTCCAATCATAAATATCCGATTTCTCTTCTCCGATGTCAAAGACAGTATTGAGTGGGCAGTGTCTTGTCGTCCCAGCCCACGACGTTGTGCCTAATCCTCATTGCCTTCATGATTAGGTATAAAGGGCTCACATGCATATGAACGTGCATTTTAGGTAAAGATCGTCATTTTAGTCCTTCAAGATTTAAGCAGCCTTGAATTGTCCTGAGATTTTAGCAGCCTCTTCATACTCCTCCTACTCAACCCGTATCGAGGGTCAGCGTAATCAGGCCCACTTATTTTTCTGTGTTGAGCATTTTACACCCACGTATAGCTTGTTGAGCTCTTAGCTCTTAACGTTGATGCTGGATACACTCACGGTTAGCGTTGGCGTGGAGCTTATTTGTTGGAGATAACTCATAGCCTACTCCCAAATGCATTCCAATCAATACGTTTTCTTCCATTGATGGGCTAACATGGTGTTAATAAAATAAACTTTATTGGGCCCACGTTTCGACATGACATCTTTGTCTTCCTTAGAACCAATGACCCGAGTCTATGTGTACAGTCTATCGCACTGCCGATGTGTTGTTTTCGCCGTCGTATCGAGTCGCGTCTTTTTGATTTACGATCAACACGATGAACGACTTTACTCCACAGTTGAGCAGGAGGAACAGAGCGGCTTGGTGAGCTTTCAAGAGCATCGAGGATGTAGTGAAGAGAACAAAGAACACCCGACTCCGTGCCCACCTTTTCGACTTAACGATACTTTTTGCCTTAATGTATGCGTCAGAAACCTGCTCGTACGTAAAGCAGGATGAGAGATCACTCAGCGTTATTGAACGAGCACTCTAAGGAAGATTCTAGGAGTCTTCCGCATCTTCGTGAAGGAATCTGATGCCCCAGTTTAGGTCAACGATGGAAATCAAACGTGTCGTTATATGCCCTAAAGCATCGAAGATCAGATGCGCAGGACACGTGACGCTTTAGTAACCTGCCATGAAAATTATAGAAGGCAGAAAACAAAACGTTTGTTATAAACTTTTGTTATTTGAAGAAGTGTCAGTTGATTAAAGAAGCTACGCTTTAAAAAGGGACTTGTTCTTTTTATACGGAAAGCAATCAGAGGCCAGCTTCCTTTGCCACTTACAATGTCGTTGCAAAAAGTTGAAAGTAGTTGGTTATCAGCGTTATTTAGCAATATTTGTCTTGGCTTCATGCCATGATAGTCTTTGAGTTGCATAATTTGCCGACAGATTCCTTTGTCCAACTGTCATCCTAGAATTACATTACTCGCAACGGAGTGCTAGCGGTTGAGCTAACAGGGGAATTTACTTTAGGAACGTCAGCACTTTTATTTCACCCGGATGGTGTGGTGGTGAAGTGCGCTGCTACACGGTAAGGACAACAGCGCGTGTTCGTTCCCCACCGCATACACCTGCGGTCCGGAGTTTTGCAAATATCTCAGCATTACATACGAGTTATATTTTGAACTTTTTTCAAAATTCGTAAACTGGAAGAAGAATCATTAGAGCGGAATTCTTGAAGCTCTCCTTCGTTCCTGAAGCATTACGTATAATAAAGAAAAACTGAAACAAACTACACAATATCAAATACGCCCGGATTTAGTTTCACTGCTCCGTGGACAATACTCAAATCGTATGTAATGGTAGGGTTTTAAGCGAAATACAGCCACAATATTGCTGAGATATTTGCAAAACTCCGGACCGCAGGTGTATGCGGTGGAGAACGAACACGCGAACAACTAACTGAGAGACAGGCGAAACGAAGGACTTCGGATGGTGGTGGTGAAGTGCGCTGCTCCACGGTAAGGACAACAGCGCGTGTTCGTTCCCCACCGCATACACCTGCGGTCCGGAGTTTTGCAAATATCTCAGCATTACATATGAGTTATATTTCGCAACATACCCTGCCATTAAAAAGAAAAAGGCAGTAAATAAAAGGGTAAGAATACTCAAATCGTTCAAGTTGGTTTAATTAATATTTTCCTAATACCCAAAACCAACTTTCTTTTAACCTCGGCATTGGTTGATAATTCGATATTTTTCTTCAACAAGTAGACACGAGGTTGATATTATAGAGTTTATTAGGATACAATAGCTGACGTTTCGGCGGTTTCGCCTTCTTCAGAGCCTGGAAAGGCCAAATTGAGATGCGACCTACCCAGCCAAACACTTTCATAACACCAGCAGATAAAACTTGACAAATAAATTTGTATTCGCATAAGAAACAGCTTCATTCAAACACCTACCGTTTATTTGTTGTAAGTATTTAAGTCAGTTGATGGATAGCCGCCGCACAGAGTAATACATGGGCGAGGACTCTTGTCTGTATGCTAATAAATTCTATAATAACAACCTCGTGTTTGCTTATTGAAGAAAAACATCGGATTTTCCTAGTGATTCATGTAGTGCAGCAGTAAGAGACGCCCTACAAAGAACACTGGGTCGATCGCTGGTTCGATTTCGCGTGTACTGTTCACCAAGCCATCAAACTCTATGCTTCGGCAATTTAGTACCAAACTTGTCCAATTGGTGGGGCACCGCAAATCACTGTGTAAGCCACATATGCATTCGATTACCTGTAACGATAGGTAATGAAGCCGAGTGCATGACGCATCTCTCAGGGATCGATCAACGGCAAACGCTTTATCACTACTCTTTTGTCAAGGACTCCTCAAATGTGATAGCCCTAATGTACATACCTAATGACTTCCGTCATTTAATGAAAATGGAAAAGTCTGACTTGCTAGACTAAACTCTTACAAGAGATTACAAAAGCTGCGAAAAAAAGAATGATGATACCAAACAGCTGGATCAGTTTCTTATACTCTGAAGATGGAATATACAATAAAAAGAGGTGACTGAGTTGTTTTTGATGACACTGACCCAAAGAGAGAGAAGAAAAGCATTTCGAGCGTCTGCTCGGGAGACGCCAGACGCATCAGTTCGGCGCTGTCCTCATCAAGGGGCTGATAAGCTGGCTGTAAGAATAAGCATGACAACGTCTTCAGAATTCCCATATGAATTTGAAAATACTTGCCTGGAATATCGACGTTACATGTAGTGTGAATCCCGCAACGAACAACAACAAAATAACAAGGAAACGAGCCAAATCGTACATAAGATCCCTGTGATATTTCCTTTGTAATTATTTGATTTCATCCCAATTAAAGCGAAATACAAAAAGTAAGAAAAAGCAAGTAGTGCCAGACAAGTGCCAGAAGCACATTAACACATAACTCCCGAAACTCGAAATTTTGACAACGACGATTTTTCGGCTACTAGAAAAGTTGAGGAGTTGGGAACTTCACAAATTTATTGTAGGGACTTCACCTTAAGGCAAACAGATAGAATTCCTATAGAGTACTTCTAAGTTTAATTACATATAGAATTAAACTTCTTAAGAAAGTGGAAACAGAGTCCAGACTTCTACAATTTTCACTGCAAATGCGCTAACTGCAAACATCAACAATATATCGGACCACCATGCTATGCTCGGCGAATTCGAAATATAACCGTTGAAGCGAGAAAATGGAAGAAATATAGCCAGAGCTCCAGAAATGTACGACTTTTATCTTGATAGAATAAAAGAATTTCTATCTTATAGGCAAAGATGTGTAGAGCCTAATAGACTTTTTGCAATTAATAAAATCCACTATGAGCTGAGACATGTTGATTTAAAGTTGAAAGCGACTACGTTTCTCGCGTCAAATGCATTGTATTCAATGCAACTCGGGAATTACGTGCCATTTAGCAAGAAGCGCTGCTGTCTCTCGCTCTTCAACCGATCGATACACATCAAATGCGCAGCCGCCACGACAATTAGTGTGAGCGATCGTGTAGTGTGTGTAGTGATGACAGCAATCGAATCGTCCGAATTACCTGATGATAATGGCCCAAGGACCGAATAAATGATGCACTGTGAGGAAGTCAAGGTACTCCACAAATGCAAATAGAAGGGCGAAAGCAAATAATTGGTTCTGAAAAAATATGGGAAATTTATTCAGCTTCAGAGAAGTGAAAGAACCATGTTTATTAAAAATGCCTGGTTTTACGCATTTGTTCCTCGAAAATTGGATCCGAAAGCACTTTCTTCTCCATAACTTCAAAGGCAGAGCTAACCTTGAGGTACAGCATGGTCCTGGCAAAGTGCAGTTTCTCATCGTTATCCAGCTGCGTCATCACAACAGCTGGAAGTAGAAAAGCCAGCACATGGACGGCTATGGCGGCTGCTGACAGAACGAGGATCAACACCTAGACGGGTACCTCTCAAACATGCCGACGCCATCTAAGCAGAACAGTCACCTTCACAATCCCTAGACCGGAGCCACCGCCAACGTTCGACAGCTCTGACACTAAGTTACCGCTGAGCCACAGCAGAAGAAGCCACTCCACCGGATTCGGAACCACCGAAGTTACCTCGTACCTGAAATGTGATGTTTTGGGATTTGCTGAAAATGCTGCGAGCGATCTAAACAATATCCGAAGACTTGCGCTGCTCGAGTTCCCAAACTTATTTTTCATGTCAGTTTTTTAAGTGACTCCATACCACGTAAAAGTACTAATACTTGTCATTTACTACATATCATAGTCTTTAATTTTCCTTCCTTGCAAATTTCAGTAATGCACTATCGGCTTAGGCGAATGCGAAACTGGCTTCTCACATTTTATGGGTGATGTTCAGAACGACGACCGTCAACAACACAGTGAAGTACACGTGCGAAACGATATGACAAACGAATTTGATTATCGGCGCTCGACCTGAGATAGTCTTGGATTTCATTCCTTATCTATAACATCACTAAAGCTAGTTCGTCACCTATGCGACTATCCAGAGGAAGCGAGAAGTAAAACCAAGCCGGAGGACATATCAATACAAATAGTGAAAATGCAACTGTTTTACCTGAAAAATGTGGAAAATAGTTTACAAAAAAGTGCAAAAACAATGGTAACGTTGGCTGTCTGGTTGTCTTGAAAAATCCCAAGTCAACGTGGACTTCTGGTTCACCCCTAAAATTTTCGCTATCCTGTAAATGAAGAAATGGCATTAAAAGCAACCGAAAGACCAGTCGACTCGAGCTGTCCAAATCTCAGTGAGATATCGCTGTACCGACGCGTAGGACACAACTTCTTTCTGTAAGAACTTGCTTTATTAACCGTTCTCAACTGCATTTCTATGCATAAATGAGATATGCTGACCTGCCCCATTAGTGTTACACGTAAATGAAAACATTCTACTCAGACTGCATTACAAATGGGATGAAAGCCTTAAAAATTTCATTTGGACTGGACCTGCTCATTTTCAATGAGGACGTCGAGGAGAGGTCGACCTCGGTTGTCTTTCGCCTTAAGCAAAATCGCAGCGTTGTACTCGGTAGCAGTGATGCCGAGCAGTTCCACTGCCATATTCTCGGAGAACACAGCAACATTAGAGAGATCCTTGGCTCGCTCTTTCTCCTTCTCGGACATATCTCTAAAGGACCAGATTGTGAATGAAAGCAATGAAAACAGCTCTCACTTTGAATAACTTTTTTCAAGCAGTTTTGAGAAGACTCAAACCCTCTTACCAAATATAAACACATTTTATATTCAGCAATCAAAAAAAATAAATTTATATTAATTAATTTAATTATTATTTTATTTATTATTATATAATTATTTAATAATTAATTATTAATTATATTAAGATTTTGAAATTTAGTGGTCAATCTCCAGCAGAGATCAGACCCACCGATAGAGAGCCGAAAGTTTTACGGCCGTGTCGATAGGAGCAGGACTCTGCAGAATGAACTCCTGCAACGGTTCGTTGTCACTTCCCTTACCACACACCTGAAAAAAAATAGGATGCAACTGATGCTTATGTGACTAACTGTAACGACTTCCATCTTCCACAGTTGGCATCCAAAAATCCAGTTTCTAGAACTAGAGGCAATACCTTTCTGAATTCTGCTTTACGAACTAAAGGCGAAACAATGCTAAGTTTTGTAGATTTAAGAGAACCTATTTCAAACTAGATATGGTAAAATGATGTTAATGGGACTAGATTAACGACTGAACTGTGGTGACCGTGCAAGATGTACAGTCATAAGTGCAATGTTGCATGTGTTCCGCACTACTTGACTTTGTCGCGAAACTCATATTTAAATGCAACACCAGGAGTGCTGAGGAAATGCGAGCCCAGCGATGGGATATAAGGACAGTAGACAAATGAAGACTAGGCGGGTGAGTTAAAGTGCAAGTGCGTCCCTAATTCTTTGTAAAACCTAACGAAACACACGTCGAGAAAGAAAAAGGTTGTTACCAACCATCAAGTCAAATATGAATCGGCGATCCTCCATCAGTTGGTGTGTGTCGTGTTTCTGCTTCAACAGAAACCGAAGGCACTCAATATGGTTGTGAGATGCTGCAAAGCAGAGCGGAACCTTAAAACAACAAAATAAAGTTAAGTTTCATCACAAGGAAAGACGGGTAATGTTCAAAATGAATATAAAAACAACTAAAGAGACATAGTGAAGACTAAGAACTCAAAGAAGAGCTTCGATAGCGCGACAGCTTGGCTGCCTCCTGGTTGGATCCCACGAGCGACTATGCGTGTAACATTTATTACATGGAATCTACGCTACACCTATCGTACCTCCACCTTAATGACCGATATGAAGTCACACGGATCTCTCTCATATGAGGGATCTCGAGCCGGTTAGTCGCGAGACTACGTGGCGCGTCCCCAGGTGGCGGATAGGGGGTTAATCGTGAACCAAAAGCAAACTTTGCTTCCCTGAGACGCAGGTAAATCCAGGGGGTGGACTCCCTGTTTCTGCTGCGCTGATTTGGCATATACTTTTTGCATTGACGAGGCGCATTCATGCATGCGTGTGTGGGTGCGTTCTGGTTTATGCAGATTGTATTCTACGAGTCGATTCGGCCAAAAGCCTACAATCAAGTGACTGGGAAGTATATGGGAGGCGGTTAGGAGTCGCCTCCAACAAATAAGCTCCATGTCCACTCCGGGAGAGCCTGGCAAGCTACCCGTGAGTATACCCAGCCCCCATGTTCATAACCCAACAAGCTATACTTGGGTATCGAAAATGCTAAACACAGTAAAAAAAAAAACGGGCCGCTGACCCCTTGACCCCGAAAGAGCCCCCAATTTCGCAGCGTTGGGTAGGACGAGTATGGAGAGGCTGCTAAAATCTCAGGACCAATGGAAGCTGCCTGGATCTCCAAGAACTATGGTGACGGTCTATAGCTACAATGCACGTACACTTGCATCCGAATCCTCGATAGAAGACTTGCTCATGCAAGCAAAAAGGACAAGGTACGACGTCATGGCCTGGCCGAGACGAGAAGATGATAACCTTTCAACGCCGTCTATGACACCGGAGAAGAACTGTTCCTCGGGACATGCGACAGTAGAGCTGTCGGCAACGTCGGCGTTCTCGTCAACACGAGTTTGTCCATGAACATTGATTCATTCGAACAACTTCCAACACGAATCGGACGTTTAGGATTAAGAAGAAGTGGATGAATTCCGGCTTTGACAATCTTCGTCGTTTACGCGCCGACAACAATCTGTGATGAAGAAGAAGTCGAAGCGTTCTATATTGACTTGGAGAAGCTCTGCAGAGAAGACCATACATTGTTCAAAGTCATCATTGGAGATTTCAACGCCAAGATTGGACCAACAAGAACATCTGGAGAACGTCACATTGGGACCCAGGGATTAGAATGGAACGAACAGGAAGGGCGGCTGTGTGAGTTTATCATGACTACCAAGACAATCCATGGTAACTCGCAATTCCAGAAGCCCCACCCTTAGCGCTGGACGTGGGAGTCTCCCAATGGAGAGCACCACAACGAAATAGACCACATCATAGTAAATAGACATAGTAAATAGAAGGTTTTGCCTAATCGATGTCGCTGTTGTCCCAAAATTCTACACGGGATCAGACTATTGCCTCCTTCGTACAAGATTCTATTTCTCGCGGAAAGGAGAAAAAACCGCTAAATTCCAAAACCGAAGTGTCAGAACCACCGCAAGCTGGGACTTATTCAATTCATTAGTCGGCTGTTGGGAAGATGCCGTTGTCGATAACAACGACGAAGAATGCGATCGGCTCATTCAACATCTCCACGTTAGCGCTATGAAAACTGACAGTTCGAAAGTCACCAAGAGACGTCTATCTCCAGAAACACTCGAGCTCATACCCAAGCGTGGAATCTCACGAGCTGCAGGCAACCGCGAACTAACGTCCGAACTTGCAAAACAATGCAGACAGGCGACAAAAGATCTTAAAGAAAAAAGAGCAGCAGTAATGGCCGAAGCTGCAGAGGTTGGGGGAAAAGCATTCGCAAACACACCGAAGCTTCGCCAATTACAAGACTAAGATGATTGCACTCCGACGCCCAGACGGAACAGTTACAGCGTCCAGAAAGGCAATAGAAAAAATCATTCATGAATACTACTCGGATATCTTCGATAGCCACGTCCACCTCCCATCATATGAAATAAAGGAGAATGCATATGTTGTACTACCGGTTCTCCCTTCCGAAATCCGAGATGCCATCTCGTGGGTGAAAAATCGAATAGCACCAGGTCCGGACAGGACAAGACCAGAACACCTGAAAAACCTTCCGCCAGTCTTCGTAAACACACTGGTTCGGTTGTTCACACGTTACCTGTCTGAATGCAAGGTCCCTACTCAGTGGAAGACCAGCAAGACCGTGTTATTGTTCAAGAAAGGTGACCTACACGAAATCGGCAACAATCGCCCAATCTGCTTACTGTCTGTCGTCTACAAAGTTTTCACTTTACTCATCCTAAACAGGATTGACAGAACACTAGACGAAGGACAGCCGTGCGAGCAAGCAGAGTTTCGAAGAGGATTTAGTACGATGGCCCACATCACACGATAACAAGACCCATTGAAGTATCGCGAGAGTACAAAAGACCGCTCTGTCTCACGTTCATCGATTTACAGAAAGTCTTTGATTCAATTGAGATAGAAGCAGTTTTGGAAGCCCTTGATAGTCAAGGAGTCCCTACTCAGTACAAAGATTCTTCGTGTACAAAAATTTCACAACCAAGGTAACACCATTCTACAACGATATTAACATTAACGTCAAAAAAGGAGTCAGGCAAGGCGATACTATCTCGCCAAAATTATTTACCGCCACATTCTAGAATGTTATGCGAACATTGCAATAGGATAATATAAGAGTGAAAATCGATGGTCAGCAGTTACACTATCTTCGCTTTGCTGATGGCATCATCCTTATAACACCAAACAATAGCCAAGTAGAACGTATGCTTAACGAATATGATAATGCCTGTGGAAAATTGGTCTTCGACTAAATCTCACAAAAACGATGTTCATGAAGAACGGATTGGTTTCGCATGCCCTATTCACGCTCAACTGAACGAGTATCTCCGAATGCTCCAGTTATATCTATCTAGGTCGGGAAATCAATATGATGAACGACCTAGCTCCAGACCTGAGCAGAAGGAAATGAGCAGCATGGGGAGCTTCCAAGAGCATCGAGGATGTAGTGAAGAGAACAAGGAACACCCGACTCCGTGCCCACCTTTTCGACTCAACGGTACTTCCTGCTCTAACGTATGCGTCAGAAACCTGGTCGCTGCGTAAGCAGGATGAAAAGTCACTCAGCGTTGTCGAACGCGCAGTCGAAAGGACCATGCTAGGAGTATCCCGTTCCACACAAGTAAGGGATGGGATCTGAAGCTCCGATCTGCGTCAACGATCAATGATCAAAGATGCCGTTCTCTAAGCCAAACAGTAGAAGATAAGGTGGACCGGACACGTAATGCGTATGAATGACAACCGATGCACGAAAGCCGTTAGTGAGCGGATTCCTCGGGATGTTAAACGCACTGCAGGAAGACCACCGACCCGAAGGTCAGAGTTCTTCACAAAGAGCCTTGAAGAAAGATATGATGCTCAACGAGTCGATACAGTGAGCAGAACCCACTGGGCTACTCTTGCACGGGACACGGAAAAATGGAAGATTTACTGGCGCCCGCCCGAGTCACTCGACGATCAGCGGGACTACAGGTGAAACAGTTGATGCAATTTACAGATGCAGTACGAAAACGACAAACGATCTCCAAAGGACTGATTGATGCAGTAATCTGTAGTCAGTCGTAGTCTTTATGTAATGTTTTATTCAATATCTCGAAACGAATACTTAAGACCGCATGTACGAAGATTTTGCCAAGCATAAACATTCACTTAATAGAAAATCGAAGTGTAACTCACCTTTCCTTCCTTAGTTTCCGCTAGTTCATCAGCAGAGCTCTTAACAAATAGCTTAACGACATTGAGATGACCTGCTTTCGTCGCGAAATGCATTCCCGTCCAGCCATTCTTAAGCAGAATTATTTTCGACGAGCAGCTGTTGGTTATAAAACGCTTCTGTGCGAAGTGGTTAAAGCACTGTTTCGCCAAAGAGGCACTACTCCGTGTAACTGTGAAATGAAAATGGAATAACAACGTGAACGCATGGCAGGATTGACGTAGTTCTTCACTGACAGAGTGAACTTGGCATGGTGAACAGAGGGTTACAGCCAGATACCTGGTCCATGACGTTGATGTTGGAGCCCTGCGCGATTAGTAGCGAGACCATTTCGTAGTGACCGTTCATAGCAGCCAGATGAAGTGGCGTGCGTCCTCGCCAGTCCTGAAATACTTGGTTCCCCATAGCTTTTGTCGTCGACTAGAAGACGATATTAGAGTTATGCATGAATATTTGCACTCAATGTTGAAATCAACGACGAATTTGATTTTCGAGATTTCAGCAGTATTGCAAATATCATGTCAAATTTCTGAAGAAACAACTTCGGATTTGGTTAAGCGTGGGTTTGTTTCCATTTTCCATTTTTACTAAGCAGAGTCCTTGGTGCGAATTTTTGCTCTCTACCGGGCATTTTGTATGGTTAGAGGTGCCGTACAATAAGCACGGGTTCGCACTCGTTCCCCCTGTCCACCGAGCCTTCCATCCATCCAAAGTCAGCAAATTGGTGCCATGCTTGTTTGGCTGGATAGGAGCATTGGCTCGTTGTATCGGCAGGCCAGTCATTATCTGGGCCAGATATGCATTCAGTCACCTCAAACGATGCTTAATGAAGTTAAATGCATGGTGCATACCTTAGCGATTGATCAACGCTGACAGCTTTATCTTTTGTTTATTTATTACCAGGCAACCTCATTCGTAAGTCGATGCTCTCCTAGTTGAGAAACCTATTCAATGCCTATGACGATGACATGAGCACTCTCTAACCACCTATTTGAGGCCGCCAGGAAGACTTACGGCTTCAATCAACAGTAATTAATCAGTTGTAATCCGTAGTGTTAGATAATATTCGAATTATCATGTGCACCAACAAAAGTAAGTGCATTTAAAAGATCTCAGTGAGGACCTTAGAATCAAGGACGGAAGAAATTAGAATCAAATGAGCAAAGCCGCTAAATTCAGAATAAGAGATCGAAACGAGCTTGAAAACAATCACGACAAAGTTCTGTTTCTTAAGACCACTATAGGATCACTCAGCACGGTCAAACCGAAGTGCTGGACGAGCATCCGTAACGATAGAAGTGAGCCAATCTTGCAAGGAAAGCTCCCACTCTCGCTTTGAAAAACTACCCTACAAGCAACTATACGAGTTGTGGTGGACTAGCGTATTCCAACAGTCCCATATTACAAACAGAGCGCCTTGAAGCTAACAGTTGTTGCGGGGTTTAGAACATACTGATGAACAAGTAAACCAACGACTAATGAGCTCTCAAGAATGCTCTTTAAACTTCATTTTTTACAACACCCGTTTTTCAGAAAGAATTAAAAGAAAGAAAAAAAGAAAAGAGAATTTCAGAAAGAAAGAAAAGAAAGAACCCAAAAATGGTATACTATCAACGAAAGTAATGGTGAACAAATCGTTGACTGAAGTTGTGTTCTGAATAGACAAAAAGAAAGAATAATTCATTCCAACACAGTAATATGGCAAATGTATCCGCACTTAAAGGAAGGCTAGAAAGTCAATGTTAACTGAAATTTAAATTTCATGTTTTCAACATAATTTTTGTAGCAGTAACCTTAGCGTGTTGCTGTTGGGTGGATCTCGACAAGAGCATTCCGACAACAGCGATGTGTCCTTGTTGAGCAGCCAGGTGGAGTGGAATCACATTCTGAAGATAATTACAGAAGGTACTGCAAGACAATGATTTTTATATGGTCGGTTTCACTGAATAATGTAACTTTTCTTTCTTTCTGCAGCTGTGGAGCTGAAAAATAACGGACGCGAAGATTCCACTGGCATTTAAATTAAACAAATATCAGTCCACAAAAGTAAATCTTTGATAGAAAACTCTAAGCAACAGTAAACGCATGAAAAATGAAGTTCCTCCAAGTAGCAGTGATTTGAGGTGTGGTAGTTCGTCCTGTTAAGATTCCCAACTTCCCATCTCAGTGAGATCGTGTAGTGCAGATGAGCTATCATTATGTAATCAACGTCTTCATTTCTATTTTAATGACGTTCAAGCCCTTTAAGTAAGTGCTTCACGTAGTGCAATAATCACCCGGAAGCAAGGCAAACGTTCTAATTGACGTAATGAAGAAAACGACGACAACAATAAAAACGTAGAACGCACCATAGTGGTGCTGGTGGCGTCAACCTGTACGCCTTGATTCAGCAACATCCGCACCAATGAATCATGACCGGATTGTGCAGCCAGGTGAAGAGGAGTGAAGCCGTACTGAAATCCATGATTGTTGAATAATATCGACATTAGCAAATAAATCGATCAACCATAACATTTATTATTCCAACGATGATTTTAAGTAATGCTTTTCTAGAGGGCGAGAAAAATTTAAAGTTACAGGAACAGTGCGACAGGAACTTGCCACTTTTACCAGCTCAGCTAATTGGCCCAAAATATATTACATTATTATGTATATTATATCAAAATTTCGGCGACGAGATCGCCCCAGAAATCTTGCCCCACCGACATGATTGCACTGCTTCAATTACTTGCTACGTTTTCTCTGAAACGCACGTTAATTCCCATCCTTCACAATAGACCACTCGTTATTTCAAGGAAATTGAGAATCAAAGCTTCAGAACCTGGCAAAAAGGAAAATCTGAGAACTTCCGCCAAATGTGCTACTGTAGCACCGATACAAAAATCTAATAATTCCACTCGAATAATTTCGAGTCCTATATATACCTTTCAACGGTTTACCACCTCATCGTGGCTGGGAGGTGTTCCTGGGTGTCGGACTGCAATGTACAGCGGGGGATTCATCCCCTGGCAGGAACTCCCAAGCTGAGAAAGAGTCCGGTGTTTCCATCAGGAAGCCTAGCTCTTAGCTACCAATAGCAGGATCCACCACCGTCCTGGTATCAAAGTCACATGGTGGTAAATCTCCCTCTGATCCACAAGGGCTGCGACTGCCCGTGGTGGTGAAGACCTGAAGCAGACTTTGGCCAGGGCGGCCTCAGGACTCCAGTGAACCATAATAGCTTAACCAGCAAATCTCTGAAAAGTGGAGATTATGCTGGGGCAAGCGCAACCAGTGAGGACGGGCCATTCAAGTACCAACTAAGTATGGGCTTTAAATAGTCCAAACTTATATATAGAACTTTACCAAGAGATCACACTGCCAAGTATACAATTCCAAACTAACTTCAGTAGCAAACTCCTTGACGACGTGGTGATTGTAGAGCGGAGGTTCCGAGCGAATCGATGCCGGCACGCTCTTCAGCATTTCGTTAACGAAATCCGAGTTACCATAATAGGCAGCGATGTGTAGGGCGTTCAGACCGGTCTAAAACATCACCATATATTGGTAGACAAATACCTGCTGTATATGTGAAAAATTCAACAACTGCGTTCTACATGTAAATGCACAATGATTGTGCTATCTCTGGCCGAATGGCAGGATTTCCGACAAGAGTGAGAACAACTGTGCACTACTACGTGCCTTTTTCGAACATCTCCTCCAAAGAGATTTGTCGAAAGCTTCCAGAATTGATACAAAACCGTTCTTTGCCCCAAGATGTAGCGCAGTCATGCCGTGCTAAAATCATTAGATGAAAAAGGCAGAATAGCGACACCGAACAGTGCACTCTTCGTTGAGGTTACATACCGCGTTCTCATCCTCAGCGTTCGCTCCATTCTCGAGCAGGATTTTCACAATATTCGCATGTCCTCCAGCAGCTGCCATATGCAGCGTGGTCGCCTTAATCAGTAAATGCTCTAGATGATTAATTCATTAAGAGCACAAAGTTTTTCCATTCACAAGACACCTAACATGTGAAGTGCTTTTTAGTTCGATCCTCATTTAAATTAAGCAAAAATCGATTTATCATCAAAGAAACTTGGAGAATGCCATATTTCATCGTGGCTTTCTTAAACACTTCATTTGCTACAAGGCTAAGTTAGGGTTAAGTAACACATAGAGGGTTCTTGTCAGCTCAGAGGATATTGCGCATATTTGGATGCTTTCAAACAAAGAATAGACCTGCCTCGAGTGTTTTAGTTTTCGCTTGAATAACCATTGCCTTGTCGATCATCATAAGCTCCTTCACCACAGCCAACGAACCCTGAACGATTAGCTACACTTGGGAAACCGACGTTCGAAGTTTACAGTACCTTCATCGCAGCAATATGAGCACACGTGAAACCATTGTGGTCGATCGCTGTCAGTACTCCACGATTATTCTGCTTCATCTTCAGAAATAATTTCACCACATCTGGATAGTCATTCTAAAATCTGTCTTGCCCACGGTTGCTATGAATCTGAGGCCGGCGACAGAAAAAGGCTATTATTTTATAATTTGTAAAATGGGACGGTGAATGCACACCAAAACTCCTTTTATCCTTCTAACCTTAGGTTACTAAGAGAATATTTTTGAACTGATTGTCAAGGAATTAAGCTAATATAATTTCCAACCGCGACGTTTTTAAACAGCATACATTTCATTGGAAGTCACGAAAAAAAAGCGGCTCTGAAGAAGGCGATACTGCCGAAACGTCAGCTAGTGTTGTATTGTATTGTGTTTTTCTATGGAAGTAAATGTATGCTGTTTAAAAACCTCGCGATTGCTGAATAAGAAAACGACGCATTCATATTCCAATGCCGAGGTTAAGAGAAAGTCGATCCTGGAAACTATAATTTCCAACATTTCAATAAAACTACACATTTAGCCTTATGATAAACGTTCTCATGAATCATCCTCGTCCTCGCTTATAAAACCATGTAGCAGAATTCGAATAACCTCTGCAGCAAGGTGAAGTGGTGTCTGCCCCTTGTCATCACGAGCATTGGGATTCGCTCCGAGGGCGAGCAGCGTTTGACTAACCACGAGTTGTCCGTGTCTAGCCGCGAAGTGCAAGGCTGTCTGCAATATCGTAGCGCCTCCATCAGCAAGGATTTCGAGTGGAAGGTATGGAACATACCTGATTGTCCAGTGTTATTGCCTCAAGACTGGCACCATGGTCCTGCACCAGTACGTTCACGACCCGCACATGTCCATTCTGGGCGGCAAGATGCAGAGGAGCTTCACCTGTCTTCGACTTGCTGAATGACATCACTTGAAAAAGGAATATGGAGAGGTAGAAAATATGCGGAAAGTGCAAGGCAGATCCTGAGATGAAAAGCAACTATCTTTCAAGTTACAGTCGTTTTGAAAATGCCAGCTTTGGTGTGTCCCACTTTTTTTCAATAAAAAGAGAACATAAAGACAGAACACTCTCGCAAAACACTCCAGAAAGCCTCATCTCAGTCAATCGGTCCTCCAGAAATTTTCTCTCAGACTTTCGTTATGACCTATCTAACAAAGGTTTCCGTTTATATGTGAGAGTGATGTGATTGGAACAAAGATTGAACAGTTGAGTGTAGCCAAAAGATATTTTCAATAGGGGTTAAGAAGATAGGAATTGCAGTATGCAAAGTCGGAATAGGAGTCCAACTGTATTTGTGCTAGGTGGAATAGTGTTTTAATCTAGCTAGTACATAATAGGCTTCTACTGCGGCAATAATGAAGATAAGAAAGTTGACAGAAAGTGAGTCGGTGTGTGCAGTTGCACCTGTTGACGAAGGCTTTATGCTGAAGTAGAAGATGCACGATTTGTAGGTGGCCGTTCAGAGCGGCCAGATGAAGCGCTGTTCTCCCATTGTCGTCGAACACGTCGATCCGGGCATGGTGCTGCAGCAGGATCTGCGCTACTCCGGTATGTCCACGGGCACAAGCCTCCAACAGCGGAGACCAGCCGTTCTGAAATCCAACACTCTTTGCTTTATTATCATTTTTGAACCATATTCATGTTGTACCAAACCCATTTTCGCAACCTTTATTCGACTAACCTTTCGACTTCTCCGTTTGAGTAAGAAATTTACTGATTACTCATGCCGAGGTTAAGTGGAAGTCGGTTAAGTGTAGCATTATTACGCCTTGTGCTAGCTATTCTAATACCGACTGCTTAATCATTTCGCAGTTGACAATCAGTTAACAACCATCCTGTATAGATGCACATCGCCGAGTGAAACTTTTTCATTCGAACGGTGCTCCACACAAGAAGGTTTGACTCGATAGCGACGAAGACCTATAGCGCAAGAACGAACTACTACGGACATCGACCCGGATCACCAGCTCCGAGAAAGATGAAAACGTCGACACGCTAGCTGAATAAAAGTGGTGTAACAATGTCGTGTAAGCTGAACAATACAAAGAAAATGAATATCATTTTCACACGATCGACTTTCCATTAACCCCGGCATTGATCAAATAGTTTTCGATATTCTTGTTGAGCAAGCACAAGGTGTTACCGCGAGGTTGTTATACAGCATACATTTACTTTCATAGAAAAACAATACAATATAACAGTAGCTAACGTTTCAGCAGTATCGCCTTCTTCAGAGCCTGGAAGGGTACACTGATATGCAATCTACTAGGCCAAACGCTTCGATAACACTTAAAAAAAGACGAAAAACTATGGTAATTACGTGATCAACATGTTTTTCGAGAACCATGTAATAGAATCATGTAAAAGCGATACTGCCGAAACGTCAGCTACTGTTGCACTGCATTGCGTTTTTCTATGGAAGTAAATGTACGCTGTTTAACAACCTCGCGATTGCTGAACAAGAAAACGACGCATTCATATTCCAATGCCAAGGTTAATAAAAAGTTGATCTTGGGAACAAGGTGTTACTTTATTTTTTTCTTTATCTAGGTAAAGCTGGTGCTTCGGCTGCATCGCCTTCTTAAGAACTTGGAAGGGTATACCGATGTGCAATTTACTACGCCAAACGCTTCAATAATACAAGCAGAAAGGAGAAAGTCTAAATGGTAATCACATGATCAACAGCTTCTCTAAAAACCACTGGTTATTATGTGCTTTCCACTGGAGAAGAACAGCTGATCAGAGTCGAGTATGGTCGATAAATATACCACCCCACATCAAAAGTCGATGCGAAGGTACGGGACGAGATCCCGTGTGATCTCGGGGCATTCTTCCCTTCTATTCATTCTAGGGAACTTGGCATTTCCAAAAAACTCCAAGAAGTTCGCGCGCTGATGTTTTGCCATCTTGTGCGAGGATAGCGACTTTTACATCAAAATCGTCTTCGATATGTTTTTGTATCTTATGCATCCTTAGTGGAGTACTTTGTTTTGTTTTTCGTTCGCCATCTAGGTGTTCTTTTCTAAGGATACACAACGGTCTGCCCGTTTCGCCGATATATTCATTTCTATTGATACCGGATCCTACCAGGTACTCTATGAATCACATTGGAATTCTGTCGTTCTACTAATGGTTACCGGAGTGAAATATAAGTTGTTTCCGAAGAATTCCAGGTTTGAAACGGACTCCTTCTTTACAGTATGCAAGTATTACCGGCTCTACCTGCTTAAGCGTATTCCACAGAGGGTACTGAAGAATACCATACCTTACTCTGCTTGTTCTGTACGATTTGCACTGTACCGGCACCGATTTTATTTACCATGGCTAGAAGTACAGCCTGATTGCCTGACCGAGCTGCCATGTGCATCGCCGTCTCGTTCGTGTTCAACGACTGCAAGTCCACCTGCACAAAGTTCTGAGAATTTTTTGTTACCCATTTAAGAAATCTTTGTTAAAAAATGCGACTTTAATGGTCTTATAGTGGTTATTTAATCAAAAGTGTTATAGAATTCTTGAGACGATTCTCAATCTACCTGGCCACCGTAATCGATGAGAAGATTCATTAGTTTGGCGTCTTCACCGGGAAAATGCAATTGCTGAGGATCAATCTCAGCAGCGTAGTGCACTGCCGTCATTCCTTCCTGTAACAACACCTCTATCGAATTTTTCACAACCAGCAGTTACTCCAGCCTCGTAGAGTTGCCTTTAATAATTCTACGCTATATTTATTGTACAAACCTGTCACTTCATTTCTAAGTTTACATCACCGTTACTGCCTTATCAAGGTACCGTCTCCGTAACTGCCTAACAGGAGGTGCACTATCTGGGTTACCCATAGGATCCAACAGCTTACCATTTCCAGACAACTGGAAGCTTCATTTAGCTCAATCCACTTTTAGCAATTATAGGCTAAGCAAAATGCACCGAACCAGTTGAGAAAACCTGTCTGAAAGCTGCGATTATACCAGATCAATGCGAAAAGGAATCGTAGATATTGCCGCCAAGATATGAACAAAGAAATGCTGCTGTAATATGTTAATACGCCGTCGATCTATGAAACGCCACTTTAAAGTCTATTTCTTGTCCAAAAATATGCCACTTAGTTCCTCCAAAGCTTAGATTCCATACCGACCTAAATGACGATCTCCAACAGTGGAAATCGCATCGTTTTACTTTAGCAGCTCAGATTTGGACATAAAAGAACGTTAGAAACTCGAAACGTGATCAAAGCAGAGGCCACAGAAAAGCTTCCGAAGGCACAGATGCATCGATGCGTCCTCATGAAGAACCGCTGCAGCAACATAAATAATGGACATTACCCTGAAATTCATTCGACTTGTGAACTTATTTCCGGTCCATTTTCTGCAGTGAGTGTGTCATTATGAAGACAACTTTTCAAAATCTTTAAAACGTTGAAAAAACACAAAAAGGATCAACCATTTGCTAATTAAATAACGAAAATCAGGAAGAATAGAAGGAACATTAACAACGTTCTATGCCATTTCACCAATTTACGGAAGAAAGATAGAGCGACCGAAGCTGATCAATCCCTAAGGGATGGGCCATGCATTCGACTCCATCCAGCACTATAGAGGCGACTATGTGGAAACTTGCCCCACATAATGACCTGTGGGGCCTAATGGTGTACTAATTCAGTGTCCATCTTTCACCGTACTATGCGCGTCCTTATACGATGCAATACAAATGAGGAATTCCGAAAGTGTACAAGCGTAACACTCACGTTTGTTCTCTGATTGATGAATTTACGAAGTTCGTCAGTGCTGAATGTCTGCGCGATGTGGGAGACGATCATCTGGGCGGCGTCGTAGTTGCAGCACTTGGCGGCGACGTGCAGCGGCGTCTCTCCCGCCTTCGACAACAGCTGAACGTTCGCATTCTCGTTGAGCAACAACCTGCACAGAAAACAGTCGTACAGGTTTCTGACGAAATATACGAGAAGTAACTTCATCTACAATCACAAAGTTGTTCTCTGAGAACGCGATCGTATTGAGCTCAGTTTGGTTTCCTCTACCAAGTGCAAACAAGCTTTGAGTTTTGGACTAAATTCGTCAATTTTCCACATGGGTAAGTACAACAGCTTCACAGCATGGTGTTCCATAACATTAGAGAACATTAAGAAAATAGAGAAAAGCTGAAAAAGTTCTTCTGAGTTTTATAAACGCAGTCTCTCTAGTGAGAGGAGTTCTCGGAAGGTACCCTAGCTTCCTCCAACTATGAATCCGTCACACAATAAGAAGATGGAAATAACAACAGTGGCATAAATAATCCCTGACTGTATGACTTCCATACCTACCTCATAATTTCCCTGTTTCCGTTTCGGGCCGCCAGGTGGAGGCACGTCTCCCCGTCTACCTGAGGCACATCCGGTTGCCCACCAGATTTGAGCAACATCATAGCACATTCACGAGCTTCCGGCCCGCTTAGTGAAGCCGCTGTCCAAAATTGGAATTAGGCAATTTTTTCTTGAGAGTTACAAAATGATTTTGGTCTTTAGTTCCGTGTCCGGTTATGAAACGCTTATTCTAGAAAAAAAATTTCGCTGTTTATTGGTGTTGTTGCTGATCGTTCATTTGCTTCGTTTGTTTTCGCTATAAAAAAAACCACAATAGCTTAATTTCATAGTAACTCGCCAAGCGCGACGAATCTATTACCACGCGATTGTCAACTCATACAGTTAGCACTAGTATGAAGAGAGGGATTCTATAAGAACAAATACCAATGTGAAGCGCTGTCTGTCCCAACGCTCCTCCTCTCACATGGATGTCGGCTCCGTAGCCCAGCAAGGTCTCCACGACCGATGCTTTTCCCGACTGTACGGCCACATGCAATGCAGTGTAGTTGTCCTTAAGAGGAACGATCGAAAAGAAAACATGAACATCACTGCACTGCTGATCGTGCATAATCGACATCACAGAGCAGATTACTGTGTATTGCTTCAGATTCCGCAAAACACCACAACAGGTATCTTATCAACAAATATTTATTCTAGCGTTGCACTATCACCTGGCAAGTTAGAAATGTACTTCGGTCTGCAACGCGGTGGCGCACATGAAAGAGCTAGCGCGCACCTACGATAGTATGGAAGATATTTTGCTCATGGTATTCCTTCCTCCAAAAGTGACCTGGGTTGGAGCTTTTTTACACTAATCAAAAAATGAAAACGAGCAAAAGACACTGGTTCGCTTGGTTCACTTTTAGAACAGGTTAACGTAAACGATTCTGTTGCTGACAAGGCGGAAGAGAAAGGCACGAGTTCCCCCAAAATCACAATACGAAATACCCGACATTGTTTTCGATATCGAATAAACCAGAGCTATATCCATCTTGACAGTCGCCGGTATAATCTAGCCATTTGTCTGCGTAACCCTACGAAGAGATGTCCGAAACTAGCAAGATTTCTATGATGCAGAGATATTTGCAAAACTCCGGACCGCAGGTGACTGCGGTGGTGAACGAACGCGCTTTTGTCCTTTCAGGGGAGTAACGCGTTCACCACCCACCACACCATGCGAGTCCTTCGTTTCGTTTGTCTCTCAGCTTGTTCCATTGATCCATTGCCATCAGCAATCACTCATCAACGGGCTTGATCTAGGGAGCGCAAATCGGCATTGAACCCAGTTAAGCTGAGGCTATAGTTACCATCACAATCTTAACCCTTCTATTTTTATAAATAAAGAGGTTAAGATTGTGATCATGGTGTGTTGGTGAACGCGTTACTCACTGGAAAGGACGATAGCGCATTCGTTCCCCACCGCAGACACCTGCGGTTCGGAGCTTTGCAAATATCTCAGCTTCACAGAAGTTATATTTCGCAACATACGCCGCCATTAAAAAGAATAGGCAGTTAATAAAAAGTTTAAGACTAGCAAGATTTTTAGTGCTGATCAGCGATAAAATGGCCAAACTCTTCATGAATCAGGCCACTGTGCACGCACTTAAGATTTATTTACCACTTAAGCAAACTCACTCTAGTACGAATATCGACGTTTGTGCCTCTGGCAATAAGCATCTGTACTACTTCGTTGAAACCAGCAGCAGCGGCTGAATGCAGACCCAATGCGCCTTTCTTGTTCGGCATGAATAAGGGAACTCCTACAATTAACAGGATTTGAAAGGATTTTATGGGTTTTATTAAATTTTGGCAATGCAATCCAAAGGAGGTCGCGTTAGGTGACGACGGGCCTCGCTGAGAACCTTTGGTGTTCACTCATAAATTCGTGGAAACGATAAAATGCATTTGTCTTAGTAAAAAAAAAATGCGAGAAAAACGCATACTGCGAATAAAACACTAATAACATTTCTGTATAGACAACACCATTAGCTGGTAGCAAAGAAATGTAGAATCTAAAAAAGTTCGAGATCCGCTGCAAATGATCTAAGGAGTGCTATCTGTACGGAAATTCCACGTTAGGTAGCACTGACTCTTCAGTGACAAATTGACAACGCCGCAAAACGTTTGCTTACAATGAAGATCTGAAAACGTTTCATTCAACTACTTAAAGATTTTTGCGCAGCAAAAAAACGCAAACACCAGTGAATCAACTTTAGTTTTAGTTTTCGTCCCAAACCACGGATGGTGTCATGGCTGGTGTTCAAATTTTGAATTACAGAAGAGTAGAAGTAAAAATCCTGATGTCCGTGGTAGCGCCTCATTTCTATTTTGTAATCCTCGCAGAGCATGTGAAGACGTTGAAAACCTAAGCATCTAGGTATTCAAAAAAACATATCTTCTACTGAACAGCACCAATGCAACAGAAGTGATGTGCAAAAAATACGGTAGGGAATCCTTAAGGATTGGTTAAATAGAAAAAGTAAAGCAGATTTAATCATCACAGCACTGTAAAAAAGCTATTGTACATTTAGCGGAGCTCCGTATTTGCCTGTTTGCTCGAACTACTCACGCCGCATCGGTCACTAGAAGCATATCATCCGTAAAGAATATATTATCACTCAAAAGACCGACTTTCTAACTGATCTTCTTTATCTGATGCGAGGTTGGTATACGTCTTCGTTGTCGTTGCCGTTGTTGTTAGTGTTGTTGGTCGATGGCTGACATCTCGGCGATTTCGCTTTCCTCAGAGCCGTGATGTTACGAGTGGACGATAACGAAGACCTATACCAACCACGCATCAGCTAAAGAATATCAGTTTATAAGGTCATATAAATAAATATAGTGTCACTGTTGAAGAGATAAACGAATTTCGTGGATTCTTGGCCTACTGTAGTGTACTTCGTAACCCAAACGATGGATAATCAGTCATGTCACTAGAAGAAAAAACTATGGAAAAATTATTGAGCAATGGATCTCGAAGGAAAAATGACAACGAAAATTCAACAGTAATGTGGTCCACTTTGACGGCACGCTGCTTCTACCTGTTGCGTTCGCTCATCGTTTATGTACCCTGTCCGTCCAATTCTCTCAATTACAATCGCCTTTTCCATTGCCATGAGAGCCTGCTAACCTTAAGATGGGATCATCAGTATGTGAACGTTCAGTGATGTACGCTCCTTAATCGGCCAGCGTCTGGCTGCCACCTGAAGTAAAGCCAAGCAGCTGTTGTCGGGAGTTTGTTGGGAACCGGGAGGCCAAACGCATGCAATCACGGCGATTGCTGTGGTGAACAACTGCGGCAGAGGTGTTGGCCAGGTGACGATCCAATCATCGCGATGATTCTTCCATAGCAAATGAGTGCTGAACATACGAGTAAGCCTCAGCTGAGATTATCACGCCAAGAAAGAGCGCAGCACTCATAATACCGGTTCGACGGAACAACGACCATCGTTGCACAACCATACTTATATCACATCAGATGAGTGGGAAATATAATCATCTTTAACAATATGGAGAAAAAAAGTAAAATTCGTGCATAATTTAAAAAAAAATCAATTGAACAGATTTGAGCGAACCGATTTATACTTTGTCGTATCATTTACGAGTTTCATTAAAATTTTCGAGAAACCAGAAGACACACCTCTCTTGAGGAACGCCAGTGCAGTGCTTGTGTGCCCCGAGCAAGCGGCGATATGCAAAAGAGTGGAGCCATCTTTCGTCCTTGCTCGGATCGAACCTCCGAATTTGTCGATCAACTGCTCAACGATTGAAGTAAAGCCACGCTCGGCTGCTATGTGTACCGGAGTCTTGTCGTCCTTAAATAGTGCTATTAGGTTCAGATGGAGACGTCTCTCGACGATGAACAGTGAATGGCGGTAGAATGTGAAATGGTGGCAAATAGTGAAATTAAGCTAACTCACATCAACTCAAAGCCACAAGTCCAACAGCATCCATGTTACGGAAGCGTCATCATTATGAGCAAGAAAAAAAAGAAACGAAATGTATGAAAGTCTAAATGATTCGCTTAAAAAACGTCGTTTTCACATCTACCTCCGAATAGTAACTGAACCTGCAGCAATGAGAGTTCTACTTGGATTTGCTGGATGTGATCGCCCCTTTTTACTTTATTTTATCAGCGAGCATAGCTTTTAAGTAGATGGGATATGCTGAGCCTACTACTATGTTAGAAGGCAAGTCCTTTTTGATAGCCATATGGAAAGCCAAGGAATAATGATAGTAGTAAACGTTCCCAACAGATTCTGGACGATGTGACCCATATATGAGTCATATGCAGCTGAGTTTTGTCCTCCACGAAATGATGACGTCTCCGATTGCATCACTGATGCCACTGTCAGGATTGAGATAGGATATGGTTTTGAAAATTCGAATTTTTTTTTGAGTTTTGATGGCTTCATTAGTTCACAAAATCGGAAAAATCATATCTTTAGGTCGAATGAGCGGAATCTTCTCTTGCACTACCGAAAAATTTGTCATTGCTGACAAAATACCACAGAACCAGATGTGTTAGAACATTCCCTGTAAAGAAAAGCTCTTGGAGTTGACCAGTCCCCGAGGGATGCGCCAGGCAATCGACTTCGTTAAGCATCGTTAAAGGTGATTGAATGCATAAATGGCCAACACAATGGATCGCGGTGGCCTAGCGATATATCGAGTTAGTGCTGCTATCCTTCCAGACAAATGTGGTTCCAATTTACCGACCCCGTAGGGATAGAAGGCTTGTTGAACCTGGAGTGCCGGATCAATTCGATTCAATCACCTCTAACTATTATGACTATTGTTCAGATTTAAACTACCATTGTCGCCCAATAGCTGGATAAAACCGGTTGCCTCCCCTTCTTCCTTAATTCACTGGGAACAGCCTTCCAGAATTCAACATCACGAACAATTTACTGCCCCAAGGTATTAAATGAAGCTCAAACTCGTCCCATTCCCAGTCTCATAACCTTCGCATCTAATACATTCTTTCCATCTATAACCATAGCGTATGGAATTCAATGCCCCATAAACGCTCTGAAATGATGTGCTGCATTAAAGGAAACTTAAGCTGTTCTCCACCATTCATTTCACAAGCGTCCGATATAAACGACGATATCGTGTGAGTAAAAGAAATCACCTTTCGCCATAGATAGCGAACACGTTTTCTGGACCACACATAAATCTTGACCAAGGTCACAAAGTTTACCATGAGCCATATGAATAACGAGAAGACGTCAACATCGTTATGAACCCAATCCTTTCAGCTATTGCCCAGTTATGTCTTGCCACCACCTTTTTAGCCGAACCTATAGGAAAAAGAGTTTAATGAAAAGTCACGAACTACTCAGAACCGTTCACCACAGGATAGCTGTGTGCCGATCAACGACGAATTGAGATTGATTGCTTACCAACCAGGGGATACTTATCTAACGCCTTCCTAGGGTAACCAAAAAACAATGTAAATGACCTTAACCATTTTTGTTTACTACCTACTATGATTTTTTAACGGCAGGGTATCATGTGAAATACAACTAAGATGATGCTGAGATATTTGCAAAACTCAGGACCGCAGGTGTCTGCGGTGAGGAACGAACGCGCTATTGTCCTTTCCGGAGAATAACGAGTTCACCACCACACCATGCGGGTCCTTCGTTTCACCTGTCTCTCAGCTAGTTCTATTGATCGGCGCCATCAGCAATCACCCCGAATGGACAATAGCGCGTTCGTTCCCCACCGCAGACACCTGCGGTCCGGAGTTTTGCAAATATCTCAGCAATCTTGTAGTTGTATTTCACATGATACCGGGCCGCTAAAAAATTATAGTAGCTACTAAATAAAAAGGTTAAGATCGTGATTTCGACTTCAGCCTCAGCTTGACTAGGTTCGTTGTCGATTTGGGCTCCTTAGATCAGTCCCGTTGACGGGTGATTGCTGATGGCGTTGATCAATAGAACTAGCTGAGAGACAAACGAAACAAAGGACCCGCATGGTGTAGTGGTGAGCGCGTTACTCCCCGGGAAGGATAATGGCGCGTTCGTTCCCCATCGCAGACGCCTGCGGTCCGGAGTTTTGGAAATATCTCAGCGTCATCTTAATGTAAATGATTTGAAAATAAAAACGCACAGAAAGCCTAGATCAAGATGGGCTGCGTTTTAGCATCTTAATATCAATGATATGAATGACTAATTAGAAGACCCATAATTCGTTTTTCACTCTCCACGGTAGTTCAGAAATGAACGGAAAAACTTTGAAGATTCTGAGGAATCTTTAGAGACGAAGGCTTGAACGGTGTTTTCTGAAGTCGGATGGGAGAGCATAACATTGATTCGAATTTCAAAGTTCAGACCTTCATTGAGCATCACACTTTCGAAGTCAACTGAACTGTAGGCTACATATAGGTAAGAAGGAATACATTGAAGAAACACCTGTATGAACAGGGCATATGCATGAGTAGAGGAGAGTAGTGGACTCCAAGAAGAACCAAGCATCCTACGAAACAGCCAGGTGCACGATAAGCGGTCGTGTGATTGTAAATGGCGCTAAGCGACTACAGTTGAAATGGAAATAACTCGTCGATGATGAAACGATATACACAAACGTCACTGTGTTCGGAAGAGATTGTCATCACGTACGAAGATCGTATATAAAAAAACCAATGGTATGCGTGCAGAGTCTGAACACGCTGTTAAGATGAGCAATACACGCATTTAAATATCCAAGACAGAAGCTGTGCTCAAAAATGATGAGTGCAAAGAATGCGATCTCGACAACGATAACGAGGGGATTGTTCAGAAGATTTTTTGACGCTAAAGTATGCTTGATAAAAACATTGCACTCCAGCATCTACTCGGCTAATACATGAATAATTACACACTAACTTTTGGTTCTGCTCCTGCTGCATTAGCAAATTTTCCATATTCGAAATAAATTCGTTCTCTTTCTTTCATTGTTGTCTTTTCAAAATGCAAAATGAACAAAACAAATACGAATGGATAATCAGAAGGCCTTACTAAGCCAACCTAGATGCTCATTCTTTTTGAATTTTGCACAATTAATCCACAACGATCCCCCTGACCGTTTACCGCCTCATCGTGGCTCACCGTTCCTGGGTGTCGCACTGCGATGTACAGCGGGGGGATTCGTCCCCAGACAGAGTCTCCTAGGCTGAGAAGGAGTCCGGCCTTTCCATCACGAAGCTCAGCTAAGAGTGAACCAATAACAGGATCCGTCACCACCCTGGTAGCAAACTAGTCGCATAATGGCAAATCTCCCTCTGATTCACGAGGCCGGCGTGCCTGTGGTGGTGACGACCTGGGACAGACATCAGCCTGTTTAACCATGGGGCCCCACGGAACTACAATGGCTGAACCAGCAAAACACCGAAAAAATGGAGATTATGCTGGGGTCCGCATAACCAATGAGGACGGGCCATCAAAGTGTCAAAGTGAGTAAATAATCCTACAACCGACGCGTAGTGTGCCCATCCCATCAGAATAACAGGCTTATATACTTCCCAATATCACGCGTGATAATGAGGCATTCCTCCCTGCGGCTCATTTTCGGATTTCTGCAATTAATCCAGAGTGCCTCGAGAGTTTTGCGCGCCTGTGTTCTCGATTCCTGTGCGAGGATCGTGACACGTACTTCAAAGTCCTCCCCGTTATGTCTCTGGTTCCTATGCGTGCCTAGTGGGGTATTTGGTTTGCATTTACCGATTAGGTGTTCTTTTATGCAGACACAGAGTGGTCTAACCGTTTCGCCAATGTATTCGTCTCCGCACGCCTTACAGGAGATCAGATAAACTGTACCCGAACTCATGCAATCACCATCTCTACCATTAGGGCAAATTGTCGAATTTTGCGTTGCACATGGACGGTCATATAGGCGGTTACGAACCAGCTGGCACCTAAGGGCACTCGGTGGCATTTCAACCACGTTTACCGAATTCTCTAGACCCGCCCTTCTTAAGCAGCGTTTTATAGCTGCACTTACATCGTTTGAGATGAAGGGTAGGATAAACGGGACCTTTTTATCGCTAGAGTTGTCGTTTGGGGGCCTATGATTTCACCTACACCTATCCTGAGCTACAGTTTCGTAGCCATTAGAAGTGGCTATTTGCCGTGCCAGGTTCCGGGACTCCTCTCTCTGCTCTCTTCCCGTGCACACGTTGGTTGGTTGCTGTTCGAAGCATGTTTCTTACAAGCACCCTTTTCGCGTGAGAGGGGTGAGAAGAAAGAACAATGAACTAGGATGTTTTTACTACTCTTACTTTTTACTACTGAGTAAATAATCTACAGAGATTTTTCGTCTACTAAGCAATGAAAAAACAAAATTCGCTACATTCGCCCTCCATCTACTTCCAGAACCAAAATGTCAGACAGTGTAGATACCTTGTCGTAGATGTTGGCGTTGGCGTGCAACTTGAACATGAGCTTGAGCAGATTCGCATCTCCCAGATAGGCGACCTCATGTAACGCCGTCCTGCCCACTGCGTTCTGCTTATTCGCATCGTCACAACCGGCCGCAATCGCCACACGGACCGCATCTATAAATTTTTGCACTTCTCAGTGTTCAGTTTATTATAGAAGTCTGCAGCGATTTCGACTGCCGACTTCTTTAGAGCAGCTAAAAATTCGATAACGAGACCTTAATATAGTATAGATATAGTATATTGAAGTTGGTTGGTAGATGTCCTGCAGTTCATTATTAAAGTTCTTGACAAATACGGTTTATCTTTAATCGTTTACTCGACTCGAAATCCAAACCACTTTTCTACTTCAAGGAAAAAAATTCAATTAATAGATAACGCCCTGGGCCTCTTCGTTCGATATATGCTGTATGTTAAAAAGTTTCTGGATTGTTTAACGAGTAATGTTTGTAAATGATAAGTTGAAAAGGGGATCCGACATCAAACTGCCCAAAGTGCAGTTCGCCCGCCGGTACCTGCCGTAACCCACCCATGTTGCCGCTTCTGCAGGCAAGGTGCAGCAACGTATCTCCAGCGCCGTCCGTTGACGTGCTCTGCTGGTGAGCGTGGTGCGAAAGAAGCAGCTCTGCCTGTGACACGTTCCCTTCCTGCAAATACCTCACTTTGTCAGCTGCTTTCCAATCAGCGACACCCGTGGAAGAATCTGGGTAAGCTCTATCATATTCCTCGCAGTACCTATCAGTTGGTTCTATAACGTTCTAACAATCACATGAACGCTTAACCACAATCACGTCTCACTAGAAACGGAATTTTTGCTCTAGATTCAACAAATGGGTCCTTTAATTTAGCTGCGAAATTAGTGGTTAAACATGGTGTCATCAGTAGTACCTTGAGAGCCAGATGGATGGGCATGGATCCATTGGCGTCCGTCTCGAGTATCTGCTGCTCGAAGAGGGCCAGAATCTGGCGGACGATGAAGTACGCCGCCTTTGATTTTCTCGCACATGCTAGATGAATGGGCAATTGAAGGTGTGGCTGCAATATTCACTTTCAGTTTAGCTACTTCTATAGCTATTCGTAATTTTTTTGTGTCGATAAAATGTTTTTTGAGAGATTAAGAGGAGACTACTCAGAATTCCATATTGTTAGCGTCGATCTCAAAGAGAAACAAACCATCTCACTGTTGAGAACGGTGATCTTCTCGCTGTTTTCTTTCTTACTACCGTATGCTCGCTAGTTCATAAATACACTTAATGAGTTTATGACATATACAAGACGTCTAAGAATTAAAACCACACCATAGAGTGTAAAAACAGTTATAAGTGGGGTTCAACACAGCACCACCTACGAATGGTTTTTGGAAGCGGATCAATAACCGAGGAGATTCTTTGGAATAAAGCATTGCCTTGATAGGTTACTTGCTTCGGAGAGCAACATGGGGAAGTTAAGTCACCTTAATCACAAATGGATAATGCAACCATCAAAAGACTATCGTTGATGAGCGATAGTGGTCTCTGCCGTCGAAGTTCTTACGGATTCTTGCCACTGAGAAGCATTGACAAAATAATTATTCCCTCAATTCATATACCAAATATCAAAACATTTCAAAAGAACAAGATCCCTGTCTCTTGGCTCTTGTTGACGGAAAATAATAGCGTATGTCATGGTGATTCGTCGCGTTACATAGTAGCTAAACGCCCTACGAGTGTATCGGAGTGGAAACGTCAGCGCCGGAAAGCATCGGAAAGCATGTCAGTGACGACGGACACATTGGTGCTGTATGATCTCTTAAGGGCTCTTACACGAAGTTGATAAACAACTTTTATTCGGCTAACGTTTCGACGTCTTCGTCCCCATCAGGGCCGATAATCTGAGGCGATAGTCCACAGCTGTTCATCTTCTCGATGTGGCGTATTCGTAGTCGCACCGAGTCGGATCTTCGTCAGTGGAAAAACGCTCGAATGAAGCAATCTGATCCGACAGTGCAACACATGTGACAGAAGGGCTATCGATTTGGCATAAAAGGTGCCGCATGAAATGCATGCCGAAAAAATGAAACAACGACGAATAAAACGCAGTGAAGTGAATGCGTATCTTCGTGAATGTGTTAAACAAAATCAAAACCAACAAAATAATCCTTTCACTCTCATATACTCAGTGCGAATAAAAGGAACCGATCTGAAATAATTACTACAGTCCGAAGTGACATAGCGCGTGGATTTAGAAGGCCACCAACGCTTTCAATCCAAAATTACAACATTTTTAATGTTTTGCAAATATCTCAGCATCATTGAAACACCATTTTGTTTAAAAACCACTCACCGTGATGTGATGGGACCACCTCTGTGCTGCTCATATGGGATGACGGGTGAGAAACCCACCCAGATTAAAAAATCAATTTGAAGAAAGGCGCCAGATCACGCATGATGGTGAGGCTTTCGTCTTTTCGGTTCATCTTTGGACTTTCGAAAATTCGAAAAGTGTCCGGAATGCTTCGAGAGTTCTGCGCGTTGATGCTTTTGATTCTTGTGCTAGAATCGAGAAAGTCATTTCAAAATCATCACCACCGTGCTTTTGTTCCCTTGGCCTGCCTAGAGGAGTACTTTGTCGAACTTTAACTTTCCCATCTAAATGTTCGTTTATGCGGACACAAAGTGGTTTACTCGTTTCCTAAAATACTCCTCACCGTATACCTTACATGAAATCAAGTATATTGTTTAAACTCATGCAATCCTGTCTATTCCTTTGGATAGATGACAGAGACGGTAGCAGACTGGATGACGGTGTAGGGCATTTGGCAGAAGGGTAATAACTGCCAGTGAATTTTCAAAACCACTTTTCTTAGGCACATCTTAACGGCGTAGCTTATTTCACTTGATATGAAGGGTAGCTTGAAAGTGATCTTGCTTGGGTTTGAAACACTATTTTGAGGAGGAATAACCCTACCTTCTGGTCTGACCCGAGTTACTTCTGTTTCGTAGCCATTGGAAATGGCTGTTTTGCATACCAAGTTTAGTGATTCCTTCCCTTCCTCTTTTCCTTCGCACACATTTTTAACCCTTCGGTACATGTTTTTGATGAGTGCTTTTTTATGTGTGAAGGATGTGAGGAGAGCTACTGCTATATTTTTACTACTTTGTTTTCGATACCGTTTTATTATGTACCCACTTTCTTAAAGGTTTATTTCGATGCTAAAGAATGGAAGCCAGCTCTCGGCTGGTTTTTCTCGCGTAAAATTTTTGTTCTCCAACTGTCTTCTTAACAATTAAGAGGACTGATCCACCTGTTCTTGTATGGAACAGACGATGACGCAGTCGTCTCTGTATCAACAGTAGGGTAAGGGTCGGCGATCGAGAACTAGAGCTTCCACCTTAGACATAAAAGCAATGACAAGGCTTGAGGCTAATCGCTGACCCATGGCCAACCTTCTAATTTGTGCAAAATATCTTCTTGACCACCTAAACATTGAGCAACTAAGTCACTGTTTTAATACAGCCGCTAGTTGGATCTGCAATCCATACTTATTTACTTTCTTTTCATGTTCTACAAGTAGCTCGAGAATGGCTTGCGTTACGGAGTCATTCGGCTCATTGGTATGAAGTGAAGTAACATCGAATGACTCCATTACATGCGTGCTGTTTGATCGCGCGTATCGTGGGTGATCTAGTATTTTGGTGTATTATCTAGATGGATTGGTGAATTTTAGTAAATGACTGGGGTTGAGATTTAGGAGCCATTTTATTCAGTCATTTGGTCCGCCAATGATAGGTTTAGCCTTGAATGATGGTGGATCGGTGGACGCAAAATCCTCAGAACTTACAAAATGGTGAGTAGATCGTCAGAGATTATGAAACGATGGGTAGTTTTTAAACAAAGTGGCGTACATTCATGTAGTAAATCTCCATAGTACTACAGATAGTTCACCAAGTTATATGAATAGCATTACACAAAATACGTTAATGCTCTGAAGAAGGCGAACTCACCGAAACGTCAGCCATCAACCAGTAACACCAACAGCAACGACGACGAAAACTTATACCAGATTCATATCAGCTTAACAAGATTAGTTCATAAAAATATTTAAAGAAATATATCAACTATTTATGCCGAGGTTTATAGGAACTCGGTCTTTTGAATGATACAGGATACTTCCAGGGTCGTCCTTTCGGCTGCAGTTTCCATGAAGCTGAAGAATCTTTCATCCTGTTTTCCTAGCGACCAGCTTTCTGACGCATATGTTAAGGTAGAAAGAATCCTGAAGCCGAAAAATTAGGCACGGAGCTGGATGTTACTTGTTCCCTTCACTATAACTTCGATGCTCTTAAATGTTCCCCAGGTTGTTGGTTTCCTTCTGCTCAATTCTGGAGCTAAGTCGTGTATCATGTTGATTTCCCGACCTAGATAGACGTAAATGGAACGTTCGGGAATATTCATTCCCTTGAGCGTGTATGAGGAACACGAAACCAATCCGTTCCTTATGAATATCGCTTTTGTGAGATTTAGCCGAAAGCTAATCCTTCTACAGGCTCTATCAAAGTCGCCAAGCATTCGCCACGCTTGGATAATGTTTAACGTTGTAACTATGATGTCATCAGCAAAGCGAAGTTGATGTAATTGTCGACCATTGATTTTCACCCTTTCGTCGTCCCATCCTAATGTTCGCATGACGTTCTCGAGGGTGGTGGCATATAATTTTGGCGATATGGTATCGCCATGCCGCATCCTTCTTTTAACATCAACGCCGATTATTTTTGATAGTTATGGAATGGTCAGATTTTGGTTGCGCCATCTTTATATAGCTCAAAAAGAGTATATATAGGGACGCTTTGGCTTTCCAAAGCTTTCACTACCACTTCTATTTCAAATTGATCAAAATCGTCCTTCCCTCATATGGAATAAAGGAGGATCGATATGTCGTCGCACAAGATCGCGAAATTAAAAGAGACCTCTCTATCTGACTTTCATCGATTCAAAGAAAGCTTTCGATTCAACTGAGATAGAAGTAGTCATAGAAGCGCTGGACAGTCAGCGAGTCCTTACTCAATATATAAAGAATCTTCGTGAGCTATACAAGAATTTCAGAACCAAAATATCACCATTATACAACGATATTGACATCGTCGCCAAAAGAGGGGTTAGGCAAGACGATACCATCTCGCCAAAATTATTTACCGCAACCCCCGAGGACGCCATGCGAAGACTGGAATGGGATAACATGGCAATGAAAACCACTGGTCGGCAATTACAGCATCCTCACCTTGCTGATGACATCGATCTTATAACATTAAACATTACTCAAACAAAGCGAATGCTTTCCGAGTTCGATAAAGCCTGTGGAAAGATTGGTCTTCGACTAAACCTCACAAAAACGATGTTCATGATCGGTTACGTATGCCCTGTTCATGCTCAACAGAAAGAATATTTCCATATGATCCAGCTACGTCTGTCTAGGTTGGGAAGTCGACATAGTGAGCGATTTTTGCTCCAGAGTTGAGCAGAAAGAAGCGAGCGACTTGGAGAGCTTTCAAGAGCAACGAGGATGTAGTGAGGAGAGCAAAAACGTGTCCACCTTTTCCACTTGGTGATTCTCCTTGCCTTAACGTGGCTCAGAAATTTCGTCGTTAGGCAGAGAAAACGAAAGATCCCTCAGTTTTATGGAACGCGGAGTCAAAAGGACGATGCTAACAGTACCCTGTATCATGTAAGTGAAAGAGAGGACCCGAAGCTCCGACCTATGTCAACAGTCCGAAATCAAAGACGCCGTTCTATACGGCAAACAGTCGAAGATCAGATGGGCTAGACGTGTAATGAGTATGAACTACAACCGATGAACAAGATCCTCGCGATGTTGAACGCACAGTGGGAAAACCACCGACCCGATGGTTAGAGTTTTTCATGAAAATTCTGAAAGGAATATATCATGCTCAACGTGTCAATAGAACGAGCAGAGCCAACTGGGCCACTCTTTCAAGCGATAGTGAACATGAAAGGCTTACTAGCGCCTGCTCGAGTCACTCGTCTCTCAACGGAACAACAGGTGA